CTTCTGCGGTAGCAACGCGCCGGGTACCAGCTAGTAAATAAATATTGTAGAACTAATACAGTTTCAAAAGTAGAACGTTTTTCGAACGTCACGGAGGATCACTGACCTCTAAATGTACAAGGGAGGATACAATTATTAGATCATCACGCGCCAACATAATTAAAAAAGTTTGTTTATTATTTATTTGTTAAACTTTATTAGAATGCTACCAGATCTTTGTCACCTTTGCGGTTTACAGATAGCGATCATAGATAGACTTTTTGTGAAAACTTCTCCTTCTTCTTCAGCACGTAGACGACAATCAGGTTCCTGACTCCGTAGTCAGGAAGCGGCTTTGAAGCCCGGGCTTTGACTAAGAATTTCTTAACAGAATAATCAGTTTCAGTAATTTATTATTTCCTATTTTTTATTTTTACATGTATTTTACTATAATATTATTTTACATTACTATAGTATTATGGCTGTATCATGAATGGGTCGGCTTGACCGGGGTAGGACCATGCTGTCACAGAATATTAGCGTAAAATAGCAGGTTAATGCTGCTGCCTTTTCGTGTCCTGCCGTAAAATGTATATATACAACATATATAAAGGCTGTAACTTTACTACGACCAACAATGAATTTAATAAGCCTGTTAATGTGATGTAATTTAACAAGTTTCTAGATTTAATTAGACCAAATTAGTTATTTAAGTTGAGAGCTAAAAGACTTTCAATTACGTCGCAAACAATGCTTAATTTAAATTTAAAATCCAACTGGCAAGGTAAGCACCTGCGAACATTTCTAATCAATTCGAAGACGAAACCCTAAAGGCGCAATTGTAACAGTGAAAATAATGTTCTATTGTTTCTTAAACAAACATCATACAAAAACGTTCATGGGTTTACTTATAATCGGTATTTATCGCTTACTTAATTGAAGTATTAAATATCTCTATACGTGTCTCTTTCTATTTCGTTTGGTGAAAAGAGAGAAAGCAACTTTAGCATTTCTTAAATTGACGTGGAGTTTTATGGGTAAGGCCGTTAAATATTTAACGAGCGATTGACGGAACAAAGCAGTCAAAACTGTAATTCATTACTTTTTAATTTATAGGTAAAAAGTCGCATAGTCTAGTGTGATATGAGACAGTAATATATATTATCTATGTGTGAGACCACGAGGGGTCGTATGCGTGTGCAATAACTTTGGTTAGGCACCTATACCGAGTACGCTAAAGCTTGTTCTAATTATTTGAATACGTGTATACTCTAAGCACGAGGCCTTTAAATTTTTTGATTATATATAACAGTTTATAACGATCTTTATTCAGCTTTGTAGAAGGTATCTGTCGTATAGGCCTGGAAAAATCGCACGTGGTTTTGGATCGCACGTGGTGGTGGATTTTACAAAGAAGTCTTGCGAAGGCGAAAACTCCAAATAAATTGCACAGTCATGGTGGACCGCCAAGGATCTAGATGGTGTGGATGGTACCGTGGGTTTTGTTCCGATGTGCGTGCCCAACAATTTGTCTAAATACTCCCTGTGAAAATTGAGTCAGTGAATCGAGCCGATCAGAAAGAACTCGGTCCTCGATGATTCGAGCCACTGTTCGCTGGATGCAGTTAAGTGGAAAGCACTGGGGTGCCCGGGTGAGCCGGTGCTAACTCTGAAGCACCTGTTTTCATCACGATAGTAGAGACTCCATTAGACCCACTCGACTTTACGTCCAGGGAGAGGAATCCTTTACACACTAAGCGCTTTGTAAACCGCACATCCGGCACGGAGCAATCACACCGCAGAATCAAAAAAAAAAAGATCGACTTTCTCCAGCATGGGCTAGTGAGTCGTTCTCCCAGTGCAGTTATGGAACACATGGCTGTCAGAAGTTCCCGTGGCTGTCCACATTGACAAAACACTTAATAAAATTAGAGGCACAGAAGAAACCTACTGTTTAAATTCTTTAAATCATGTCCAGTCAGTGAACTAAAGACGAAAGGTACAAAGTAATTCAATCTTATTTTATCAACTTATTTTTATCCGTTTTGTACCAAAAAGAAATAAATGCTTTTTCTTTCTTTTTGGAGAAAAAAAGAGCAATAATTATTTATTGAGAATATTATGTATATTATACCGAATTTTATTCTGTAAGTAAGCGGTGCTTGCAAAGGCAAGCTCAGCGCCCCCTCGAATCTTGCGCCCTAGGCTCCAGCCTAGTTAGCCTGTGGGTAAATCAGGCCTTGTGGATGTTTTCCCCTATCATAAATAAAGTATTTTACCGTAATAACTTGTGAATATTAACAATGATTCCCGTCAGCGGTCTGGTAATATATCTGGTGTCAAATACAACATCTATAGAGGCGACCAAATCTTCGCCTCCTATGACACCTACGTGATGAGTTGTGAAGATTTTTTTACGCTACCAACACACTTCAAGGTGTAAACCTACTTATTTTCGCGTTATCAATATTTAAAATTTAAGCCAATTTAAAATATTGGTAACGCAATATAAAATATTGTTAGTCAGTTCATCCATTCATTACAAGCCTATGAAAGTCCACTGCTGAAAATAGGCCTGTCCCACAGATTGCCTCATAGAATGGATTTTGCCACTGTTGCCACGCTTGGTAGGAATATTGGCAGTTCTTTTAGAATTTTGAGATGTTTTCAGGAAGATTTTGCCGCCCATCTCGTGTTTCCGTTTCTGTCCTTTGTCGCCTTTTACTACACACGGCACGATATTATGGTAGTGTATATTCTTACACTGCTACAAGGCTACAACACGGTAAAAACAGTACAATATATAAAGACAATATCATTTTGTCGCTTGAAGTTCCGGTACTGGTTAAGTTACTACAATACAAACAGAGATACTCGTTTATCCACCAAGAGTCGTGAATAGAACAGTATGGAATCCTTACCCAATTTCAACTTACAGGCAACAGGTTTTTTAACAGGTCTTATGAAGCGAAATATATTATATACTAGCTGTTCACCGCGACTTCCTCCGCGTGTAATTTAGGGTTTTAATTGTGTAGCGCGGAACCCTAATTCTTTTTTTAAAATATAAGTAACCTAAGTTACTCCTTATAACATCGGCTATCTGCTAGTGAAAGTCCCGTCGAAATCGGTTCAGCCGTTTCGGAGATTAGCCGGAACAAACAGACAGACAGACAGACCGACAGACACGGACAGACAAAAATTTTAAAAATTGTGTTTTTGTTATAAGAACCGTATATACGTTCATATGCATTTAGTAAACAGCTGTAATTTTAATATTACAAACAGACACTTCAATTTTATTTATTTGTATAGATTTTATTCAACAAAAACTCTCAAATTACTTACTTGGAGATGCTTATTATCCGTAGCGTCCAATGAGATACTGCCGCTTAAAATCAAATTCAACGCAATGTCTAGTAAAATAAGGTTCTAAATTATGTACTTAATTATAATAACAAAGAAGAGCAAAGTTTAACAAAGAATGAGCGTTTCTGAAAAAGAGCTCATACAAAAGCAGCGAACTTTTTGAAAGTTTTTTCTCTATTTATTCCATAGATTTTAATGAAGTTTGATTTTGATTCATATTTAAATTTGATAATATAAAAATATTATACAATTTAATTTTAGTCCATCCAAAATGTACATCAACTAAAAGTTTAAGGCAGTATGACAGCGAGAATTTCTGTGGTTGAGGCAAGCATACGAGTAGCGCCGCGATCGAAAGAAAAGTTTAAAAGTGCTGGATGTCAGTCTGTTCAAGAATGCGCTGGTTGCTATAGGTTTCTTAAAAGACCCACTCGAACAGGTTCCCGTCTTGTCGTGACGAGAGTCTAGGAGCCGTGGCTTGGTCACCCATGGCGAATGACTCCATATGGCAGGCCCGAGGCGAAGAGCTGGCCCGAGGTAGCCATTCTGAGTAGGTTTGGCGAACCCACTTTGGATGTGTATTGGTGCTATTACCGCTATATACTACCGCCGCAGTCAGGTGGCGTCGCATCGAAGAGGAGTGTTGCTATGGCGATGCGCCTCTCGTTCTATCCTCCACGACTCTTGCAGGGCCGTACCGTTGATGCGGTAGTGGTTGAGCTACGAGGGCAGAGGAGTGTCGGCCTATCGAGTTGCGAGGCGCCGCCTTGATTAGGTACCCTTCACAGCCGTAACTTGGTTGCCGATGACCAAGTCCAGATCCACCGGTGTGGTCAGGAAAGCTAGTGCTTCCAAGTTCAACTTTTTTCCTGGCCCCATGGCCTCCACGTATCGGGCTCTAAACGTTGCGCAGGAAGAGTTAGAGGCCGCGGAGGAAGGCGCACCTTGTGTTCCTGGTGCGCCTTACCAGAGAAGGAATAGGGGGAGGAAAAGACCGCCCCTCAGAAGAGGCTGCCATGAAGCTGCCATGAGGGGCCGCGGATGTGTGCGAAATCGTTCTGGTGGCACCACGATGGTGGAACACCATGGGGTTTTAATCTTTGCGAGTCCGAATTAACCCATGGTTATTTTTCTTTCAAAAGTGTTTTGATATCGTTTTGATTTAATAAGAAGTGTGAGATTTAATCCATAATATAAATATAGACATAAATAATTTTGTACAATTTTTTTATATTTACAAGTCTGTGCGAATCTATAAGTAAATATGAAAACTAACGATCCGCCCCGACTTCGCACGGGTGATTTCTGGATCTCGACAGCAGCGTAACTTTCCCCGTCCAATTGTGAATTTAATCAACCAGGGACCCAATCAAGCATACGCAAAAACTCATCAAATTTGGTCCAGCCATTTAGGAGGAGTTCAGTCACATACACATTGACAGAAGAATTTTATATATAAAGATAGAAGATAGAGTAATTGTATGGCTACAACTCACAATAATGAAAAAAAATTATACACAATTAATTAAAACGGTTTTTAGGGAGCTAAAAAAATATTGGGCCTGCCTTGAAATAAAAGGCCTGGGGTTACGCAATGGAACTTTATTGTACGTAATCCTTAAGGAACTATGTAATTTTTTTCTTGTTCCCAGGTATTTAGTACTAGAGCATGTGAGCGGTGGCGAGCTTTTCGATTACCTCGTGAAGAAGGGCCGCCTGACGCCTAAGGAAGCGAGAAGGTTCTTCAGACAAATCATATCAGCACTGGACTTCTGTCACAGCCATTCCATTTGGTATGTAGAAAGTGTTATGGCCGACACACACGGTTAGTTAAACTGATCAGTTGAACTGACGTACATTCAAAAACTGACCGTGAGTGTGAAATCTTAATCGAATAAAATCAAAATCAAATCTTAGCCAAATCCTTTTGGCTTATATTCGTTTTAACTGATCAGTTAAACTGATCAGTCCAACTTTACAACTGATCGGTTTAACTGACCGTGTGTGTCGAGCATTAAATACTAATAGTATTTAATTCCTCTGTTAGATAGACCAAGAATGCGTCAGCTGGGAAGAGAAAGCATTCTCCTTATACGTGGTAGAGCTCACGCTGCAGCTATATTATGGGTGTAGCACGAATGGGTCGGCTCGAGGTAGGACCACGCTCTCATAGAATATCAACATAAAATGGCAGCTACTATGTATCGTATGGTGAGTGTAGAGAACCGGAGACCCTTTTTACTGGAAACGAGGCATTCCATCTTAGTTCTCAGGGCTGACAACGCATCTGCATTTTGATTGTTTATTGAGGATAAGTGTAGATGGGCCACAGCATCCACTTACCATCAGGTGGACTGTGTGCTCGTTTGTCACCGATATTATATAAAAAAAGAGTGGCTTGAAAGATCTGTCCATATTCACCTCTTTGAACAAGTGGGTTGATGAGCGCAGAACCGTCATCTTCGCTCTGGTAATTACTTCCTCCGTGAATCCAAGAGCCCAAAAAGGCAATAACACTATTAAGTGTTTGCTGGTTTGAGTATGTTGTGATTAATATATTAGGTAATGTAAAATATTTATATAATTAATGTAATGTAAAAAAATATTAATGTAGGTAGGTTAATATTAATATTTTTTGTGCAATGAAGAAGTTTCTACCTATCTATCTACATCGGAAACGAATAAGTTAAGAAGTTCCTGCGTGTTAGGGCATGCGCTTGAGATACCCCCTTCAGTTGATAAAGTTTGATGGTATTTGAAAAAGGTTTTACTGGGATAAATTGGGTCGGAGAACATTAACATCATCAAAAGACTGTCGGCTGACTCGGCAGCGCAATAGCTGAGTTAAGGGTATGAAGTTGCGAAACGTAGGCTTGATTCTTGTACAAAATAAATATTTTCATGGCTTACAATTTGGTCCTGTGTAGATTATGCCGTAAAAGATTTTTTTTTTATAAAAATCAAGTGTCAACGAACTTACAGTCCACCTGTTGGTAAGTGGTTACTGCAGTCCATGGACACTTGCAGCCAACTTCATACTAAAGAGGCTACAAATGCGTTGCCACCACTGACACAATAAATAATAGCGCATGGGGACTAAGATGGATGGATTTGGTGAAACACCGCCAACTTCCTGACTCTGGCAGCTACTGAGGATTTCTTGATGGAAAAATTGAATAACTGATTTTTTGGCCCGACTTGGGATTCGAACCCGGGACCTCATGATCAGCAGTCGCACTACTACAACCACTAGACTAACGAGGCAGTCAAACATACATTACATTCTTCAGATCAGCATTCAAATCTATAAAAATAACTTTTTTTTAAAAAACTGACCATATTTTTTTAAATTTTAATTTTTAATTTTATGTGGTTTTATTACCTCTTACTGACACTTGCCGATGCTAAAGCTAAGTAAAGCGGGGTCTTTGACAATCCTCTTACTCTCCAGACAATGCAGAGGTAATACGAGTACAACCATATACAATTTGCATACAATTTTTTTTATTTCAAATATTATTGTTCCAGTTTTTAAATTAAAGTTATTTCTATAGGCTTGAATACTGATCCTGATAACGTACTTAACGGGAACCACAGGGTTTTTTGTTACATAATGTATACATACCTATCAAAAATCAGACAAGGTCTTTCATGTGCCGTGCTATGGACATTACATTATTCAACTTTGATTTATAGCCATCGAGATCTCAAGCCTGAAAACCTTTTGCTGGACGAGCGGAATAATATCAAGATTGCAGACTTCGGCATGGCGTCCCTTCAACCAGCTGGCTCCCTGCTAGAGACCTCGTGTGGCAGCCCTCACTACGCTTGCCCCGAAGTTATAAGAGTAAGTTAATTTTCAATTAAAATTTTATACAGTTATTAATTATTTGTAAATTAGGTTGATTTAATTTTATACCCGAAGCTTGTCAAAAGAACGTTATTAGGGTTGCGTGGTTCTGGTATTGAGTGACATTATATTGAACCTTTTTATCAAAGTTTTAGAGGAAAACGAAACGAACGAAACGAATAAGAAAACAGGAATGGGATAGATTAAATATTATCACTCGATTTATATTTTGTAATGTACCGTGTAACACACTCGATAATTATCACGATATTTGGATCATAATCTAGGATTACGATATTTATCGAGTGTGTAGTATAACATATCACGGTTCGTGATACGGATCGCTGGATTTCTAAAAATCCAGAAATCCAACGATCTGTATCAAGAATCGTCGATAAATATCGAGTGTCTAGTCTCTGCTCGATATTTATCGTGTCAGTATTCATTGTCAGCGATGAAGGACATGGATAAATATATATGTAGCAAAGGAGGACGCGCTTCTTGATGCGGTAGCGGTGCCAGCCATACCTCAAACGAATGGCCAAAAAAACTTGAAAGAATTCACGCGATTTTATAGTCACTCATTACGTTACTGGCTTCGGATTATGTAACGTGCACGTCTTTAGTGAATGAAATCTACCGTTGTACTGACGCGATTAGTATCGAGTGTGTAGTATGTAGATTCGATCAAAAATATTGGAGGATAAAAATCACGTTAAATATCGTGCTAATTATCGAGTGTGTAGCATGCGCCATTGTCGGTGTAAGAATATCCATTACCCCATATCATCCCGTGGGTGTGGTTAGAGACAGAGGGAAACAAATCAGGAGATGGCAGCAGCATCTTCCTAATAACGACTAAAATAAAAACTGTGGCTGCCCACCCCGCTTGCCAATAATGGCAACTATGGCAAATATTTCCCCTATGAGGCAATCTATGGAGAAGGCCTGTGTTCAGCAGTGGACTTTAATAGGCTGTAACGGTATGTCTTGTTAATAATAATGAAATTATAGACTACTCGTTTCGTTTTTAAACAATTACTTACATGGTAGAGTCATGTATTATGATGGCTAGTCCTGAATGAGTCACTAGCTCAGAATACCAACGTAAATAGCAGCATAATCATATTGTGTTTTATATGACGAGGGACGAGAATCGGATATACCATGTTTACTGGTAATGAGGAGCATCTGCATTTGGAACTTTAATCGAGAATAGATGTAGATGTCTTTGGGCTTACAAGGGGGACTATGTGCTCGTTTGTAACCCTTTATTGTATAAAAATTTAAAAAAAATCATTCACGTGATTAAGTCACATGACAATTTTTTTGATTTAAACTTAGGCCGGAAAAGACTGGCCGATGTAGAAGTTGGTATCATTTTAGGGAATTTGTGAGAGTCGTTAGTTTAGGGTTAGCCTTAACAATAATCATGGTATAATGATTTCTTATATTTAAGCGAACACTACACATTGAACAAAACTACTTTTACGCATTTTATCGCGTTTAATTATATTTATTTTTAATTCAATTCTCCGGGAACTACGCAGTTTGTGATCATATCCTAGACGGCCCCCGCCATTACATCAGATTTGATAAACCACAAATCCTCGCGAAAGAACATCGATGATACGTGAAGCTATTGATATTAAAAAAAACATCCTAATTTCAATAGAATAGGACTACTGGGTACTACCACCTGCTTGGCATCCTGTGATTAATAAAATTAAAACTAAACCCTAGCATACCCCTGCAAGCCTTCAAGACACAGTAAGTTCATTCTGCGTAGATCGGACCAAACTTAATAATTAAAAAAGCTGAAGGTACTCCGGGTTAACTCTGACATCGGGACGTCAGTCACCTCAGTCTCCCGTGACCATTGGTGCTGTAAACCACCCGAAACGTCGGGAATTAAAAATAAGTATAATTAAACCCGATAAAATCTGTAAAAGTAGTTTTATTCGATAATCATTGTATACAAACAAACCGAGATCGATTCCACCGACATCAGTGAAATTTTTAATTGCTATTTCAACTAACAATTTCACTGATGTCGGTGGGATTGATTTACCATGTGCTTGGCGGTGTAGGATGACCTGTAGTTATGAAAAATTTAAAAATAATATATTGAAGTCTGAATTATTAAAAATTTGAATATTGGTGCCGTGGTAGCTCAGATGAGCCATGGTAGCTCGGATGAGACGTGGTAGCTCAGATGGTTAGCGCTCGCTGTAAGTCTCACAGTACGCGAGCAACCCGCGTTCGATACCCGCTGGCACCAATGAAATAGTTAATTGCAACTTTATGAGCTGATTTACCACGTGTTCGGCGGTGAAGGAAAACATCATGAGGAAACCTGCATGTCTGAGAAATAAGAAAAAAATATTTCGAAGTGAAGTTCGCCAACACGCAATGGGGCGGCGCAGCAGACATTTAATTGCCCTAAAAGCCTCTCAGAATTGAGAGGAGGCCTGTGCTCAGCCGTAGGACGTATATTGGCTGTAATAAAAAAAATATCGAAGTCTTGTGAAGCACAACAACACGCGACGCAGCGCGACGGTCTCTTTTCTTCCCGAAAAACTCTAATCACTATTTATTATTTAGAGGTGGCTTGTGCCCAAAAGTTGGACTTATGTCGATTGTTACTTTTAAATGATTGTTTATATTAATTTTCATAGATAATATACTTAAGTAATAATTCTAAAAGTATGTAAATGTTTGCATTGAAGCATTGACGCCGTAAAGAGGGGCGGTGAGAGAGGTCCGCCCCGGATACCAAGCACCAAGGGGTGACAACGATAATTCACTAGAACAGGCAGAAAATACTTACAGAAGAATTACTCATACCAATAAATAAATAGCTACCTACTTTTTCTCTCTTCCTTATAATAATATCTACCTGCAAACAAATATTATTATTTTATTATAGAAAGAGAGGGCAAACGAACATGCGGCTCACCTGATGGTAAATTTCGACCGCTGTGAACAACTGCAACACTAGGGGAATTGCAGGTTCGTTGCCAGCTTTTTAAAAAGCATAAACTCGTTTCTCTAAGGTTCCTAAGTCGTGCGGTCCGGAAAAATCACAGCTGGTAATCGATCCCACAAAGTAGTCGTGCGAGGAAAAACACTTCCAGTAAATCACAAAGTAGTGGACCGCTAAGCATCCAGACGATGTGGATGGTAACGTGCGTTTTGACGCGATGTGCGTTGGTGAAATCTGTCATTTTGATAACTCCTCAGAGAACTTCCCGCGGTAAATGCGATAGGAAATGCAAAGGGATGCAACATCTCTTCGCAGCGATAGTGATTCGAGCTGATTGGAGAGAACACGGTCGTTGACGATTCGAGCTGCTCTGCGTTGGATGCGGTTAAGTGGAAGGAGCTGACACTAGGGAGCCCCGGCTTAGAAGAGATGGGAACATTTATCCATGTGAGGCCGAACCTGCGTCTTGTAAAGTTACAAGTGGTGTGTCGGAATGAAAAACTGTCTCGTTCTGGTGAGCACGCCAAGCTTTTTAGAAGCCAATTTGGTCTTCTCTTGCAACTGACCACGAAACTGCACATTGTTCGATATGTCGACGCCGAGGATTTCGACACTGGCTGAGGCAACAAGGGAAGTACCCTGAAACTGAGGAGACACGACAAAGGAGTTCATTTTAGCGGTAAACGCGCAAACTTGTGTCTTCTCGGGTTTGAACTAAAGTAGATTTAATCGCCCCCAATCCGAGACTTTGATCAACAAAGACTCGATTTCAGACACAAGTTTGTTCCGGTACACGGCGACGTTTTCCCGAGAAATATTGGCACGGCCGGTGTATAAATCATCACCGGTACTCTCGGCCGCATAGCAATGAAAGTTACCGGTTTGCAACATATAATTGAAATCCAGAAAAAACAGCGTTGGCGATATATTAATATGTATCGTAAATTTATTTTATTTACTTTGAACATAATTTCATTTCCTAAATAAATGAGTTCAGATTTTGTAACACTTGAATGAGTGAGTAACTCGATCAATAAGTACCAGTATATGTCATACGCGCGTAGCATCAAGCGTGTAATGTGATTGACATTCGGATGAACTGACTAGAGTAAAACAAATAATAAAATGTATCTAGTACAGCGAAGTGAGCCATGCCCATGCCACAGCCACAGAACAGTACTGTGTACCATGACCGCGTAACGCGTATGCGTAAGCATGTATAGCATTTTTTGTTTTATCTTGGGGTTGTTTTATAAAAAACCGCCAGGGCCAACCCACGCAACGCCGCCATTGCATTGTATATATGTCAATTTTTAATTTTGGTAAGAAAAATACATTATTACCAGTTAAAAAATCTATTACAACAATCTATAGATTTAAAATTCCCTTGTTATTTATTGAGAAGAAATAAAATGAAAAGCAATTTTGTTTTATTTTTTATTTATATTCTATCAAGGTCTAAGCTTATAACATTAAAATCAACAGTGATAATTAGACCTAGTTTAAATGGTCTATATTATACGATCGATATAATTATCATAAAACCGTTAATTTTAGGCATGCTGCATGCAATGTTAACTTTCATCGACGACATTTAGCACAAAATTATTTTTTAAAAACTATACTTACCTACAAAGACTAACAAGGTGGAATGATTTTCTGTTTTCACTCGTTTGTTTTTACATAGGTATGATACCGTTGAAGTTGACGAAGATACAAAAGATTTGAAGTTAGTTTGTGGAAAAATACTGTGGTCCGTGGTCATAATTGAATTGTGGTTGTGTCAATAATACACGCCTGTTTAAATTTCATATAATATAAAATAATGATCCAGATCCGCAATTTTGTTTCCCGCGCAATTATGATTTTACAGTCGAGTTTAAATTCCATTACATAGTATTTCAAATGATTGGATACCATAACTTTTTACATTTTGACCTCCATATTGATAACTTATCAATCCTTCCAATTAGAAAAAAGGATGAACGAGCCCCCTTGATGGTTTTCCCCTCAATAGTAAATGATACATTACATGCGTTCGGCTGCAGTTTGCCTGAAGCAAATTTAAAGAACAGCTATCAAAGTGCTCAGAACTTTGATAACACTATTTAGGCTTCAGTGCATTTCGCTTACGGCGCAACGACAGCGCCGCCATATCAACTACTATTTTGTACAAATATTTGTGCATAAATGTATCTATACATTTTCGGTTTTGATTCTGAACGTGAATGAGTAAAAGATTGACCCCGCTTCCAACTAACTCACACTAAATGACGAAAAATATAGCGTTCCTTGATTATAGTAACTGGCTATATCTTAAAAATCCTGTGTGTGTTCGTAATCCTTCTCATCCTAAACGGCTTGAACAATTTTGATGAAATTTTTATGGGTTCACCTGTATGGTTCCAAGCTGTTTTTTAGTTTTTTACAGACTTAAATAAATACCTAGCAATTTAAATATCTTATCCAACAAAATAATATAAACTATAGTGATAATAATATGTACCATCCACCCAATACTTTCATTACAGCCGTAATTACTAAATTACGAACACACAGACCGAACCGTGTAGTGGCAGTGTAAAGAATATCGTCTACCCCATATCGTCCTGCAGGGCTAGCATAGACAGGAGACAATTTTATACCCAGGGAAACGAGAAAATGTTTATCCCCTCGCTTAGTTTTATCCATCCTTCGAGCATGGGTATACCGGTGGATATAATATCCACAGTAGATAAAATGGGAGATAGACTTAGATAAATTTTTTGTATGAATATAAACTCAAACCCACATCCAATGAACTAGGATATAATTGTCCCATTCAAATGTCAAAAAAGCATAATTTTTTATCTTTAATTTGGCTCCATGCTACGGACGGGGGATAAAGTTATGTTTACTCGTTATGTCAAACGGGGATATACTTCTCCCCGTTACCATGATTTGGCGTAGGGACAAGATAATTTTATCTCTTGTCGGTGGATATAATCGGGGGATAAAATTTTTGTCACCAGCCCATGCTAGCCGTGCTGTATATGTCGTAAGAGACAACAGAGTGAAACCATGAGATGGCCACTAAGGCAACCCGCTTGCCAAGCGTAGCAACTATAGCAAATATGTGGCATTTATTTAATAATCTATTCTACGTTCAGCAGTGGATTTTTGAAAGGTTGTAACGGTAAACGCAGACTGGCGACGGAACCAGCTCCAAAGGTGTGGTCTGCTACCTACAGCGACGTGCCGACCAAGCTTAGCGACAACAACAAGTCTGTTCTGTATTTTAGTAGAGGTTATCATGCGGCGAAAGGAATTTCTCTTACTCGGTTCATGGCCCACGGACTTTTAACAGACAGAACAGAACATATTGCCAATTTAAATTATTACCTACATATAATTTTTTATTCTATCGGAGTTTTTGTGCAATTAAACATTAGAATGACGCACGAGCTCGCAGTTCCTAGAGTATATAACCACTAAGTAGTTGACCAAATAGTAAAACTACTGCAGTCCATGGCCACCTGCGGCATCTCCAAAGAAAGAACGGCTATTCATAGGAACTGTACGCTGCGCGGAATCGAAGACACTGTCCTCATCAAAACGTATGCACTTATGCAATATGACCAGAGGTCACTTCAAATTGCAACAAAATGCAAAGCCAAGTATATACAAGAATTGTTCTTACAAATATTGTAATATTTCTTAAATTTGAAATTGAACAGTGAAACAAGTAGAAATTGTTTCGTGGCAACAGCGTAGTACTATTATTTATTCTGTGGCAACAGTTTTCTTTTATAGGATAAGGGTGACAAACGAGCACACAGTCCACCTGATGGTAAGTAGTTGCTGCGGCCCATAGACATCTACATCTATCCTCTGTTACAAATCAAAATGTAGATGCGTTGTCACCCGTAAGGACTAAGATGGAAGGCCTCATTTCCAGTAAAAAGGGCCTCCGGCCACCTGCACTCACCAAGCGAAACACAGAGGTAAACCTCTACTTCACGCTGGTTTTCTGTGAGGTCGTGGTACTACCCCGGTTCGAGCCGGCCCATCCGTGCGACAGCAAAAGCTGCCGCGTGGCTCTACCACTTAAAAAAAGTGTTGTACTATAACATTCTATTCCCAGATTTCTAAACGTAGTGATTTATACGTATTATGCTCCGCTGACTGTACGAGTCCAGATTTCAAATTTCAGCTAGAGTTAACAGTCAGTGTTTAACCACATACTACAGAAGTTATGATCTTCACGTTTGATTAGTCTTACTTTTGATGGATTCATGTAGGAAACATTGATTTCTAATCTACCTGCGAAATAACCGACTCTTTTAGCGCGTATATTTGTAACACTACAATTTATAAGTACATATTATACTCTGCTGACATCACGAGTCCGGATTTCAACAGTCAGTGTTTCAATCACAGAATACAGTAGTTATGATCTTCACGTTTGATTAGTCTTAGTTTTGATGGATTTATGTATGAATCATTGATTTCTAGTCTACCTCCGAATTAACAGAAACTGTTTTAGTACGTATATTTGTAACACCACAACATCCAGTGCGACGCTATTCGGAAGTATGTAGTAGTTTCTAGAATCATATTAGGTATATCTAATAGAATATTTTAGTCATCATTAACTATACACGAAAGTAATTTTTCCTTTACCATTGATTAAAATGATAAACTTCTGTCTGGTGAAAAACCAGAACGAAACCTACCGCTACCTTTATAAAATCAACTCTACTAAATAACCAGTACTTTTATTTTAAAATAGCTGATACCCGCGAATTCGTCCGCGTTGCTTGATATATTAATAAAGTTTTCGTATATGCGAACGTTACTTAAACATCGAAAAAATCGCAAGCAAAAATATTAATTATACTTTGCTTACCAAATCGTTGTTCCTTAAAACTGTAATAACTTTATACTAAATGAAGATATCGCAATATTTTTTTTTTGATAAGAACCAAGCTTCTAAGAAAATATAAAATAAAACTTAGAAAACCTAATTGAAATCTATCCAGTAGTTATTCCGTGATGCGCGCACAACTGCAAAACTCAATTATTTTATTTATATAGATTAGCTGGTATTCGGCGCATTGCTGACGCAGAAGAAATGATGTGGAAATATCGTTTTAAATTTGGAAGAGTTATATGGTTTAATTAGCTATGATAAATAGTTACATTCATAGAAATTTAATGATATAATAACTTTCAAATTGTCAGTACGATACGCGCGCCACCTACTGTAACTTAATTGTACTACGCCTATAACCTTCCCGCAAGTAACAAGTTGACAAAGTTTTACCGCAATCTGATGTACCTACGGTATGGTAGCGTATAAAATACGAAGAAACATCTATGGAAGAAACAAACATTATTTTTTATCCACTGACCTTCATTTAAAGTTGAATTGGAATATTGAAATAAAGCTGATAACACACCAGAAAGGTATTTAATACATTTCCAAAAATTACAGTAACTTATGAATACACAACTTACAGAATACTAAACTAAGCACTAGAAATATACCCTTCAACAATAATTAAGTACTTTAAATTAAACAAGTTTGAGAAAAAGAAAAAACAAGATAAATAGTCGATAAATCTAAGCAAATGTACATTTCGAGATTCTGAACTACATCTTTTATATATTACATAAATCATGTATCTTATGTAAATAACATAATGTAATCACAATCAATACATATTAAATTGACTACAAGTGCCGACTTCAGTGTTAAGTACTATTGATATGTAATAAAGTAGTTGTAAAAAATCACAGTTTATTTTCAAATGTCATAACTAAAAGCTAAGTTCCCACAAACACTATGTTCACTGATATTCAATGAATCTGTATATTTGTAACTTATGTTGTTGCAATGGAATTATAGAAATCGATTTTCTATATAATATATATATATGTATATATCAGGAAAAAAACTAATCTATCCTGTGAAAACTTTACATAACGCTTAAAAAAAAACAAGTGACTCATGATTTGGAAAACATAAAAAGAAATAAAAAAATAATAATATTTAACTCAAGGTTTGCTTCTTAAACATTTTTCTCACCGTAAAGAGGAACTATTAATTTGTATCAATTGAGCACTTCCTATTGAGGGATAAGATACAACACAAACTAAATTGGTACTAAAATGATTTTTGGAACATGAGGGTCAATATGTGTAGGTAACAACTACCACTAGAATGTAATACCTCAGAAAAGAAAATAATTTCAACATTAGACAACAAATAAATTGGTTACGTTTAAAAATCCAAATTTAAATTAATACCTGTTTTCAAGAAAACTGTCAGTTTACCAACTTAATTAATTTCTACAACTACAAAAAGAAATTTATACAATCAAATATACCAATATAGTTGTGCAATCTACATGATAACTATTTTAAAGGGAAATATAATGAATTCAGCTTAACACAAGATAATAAAGGTAAACTTTCTAAGATATTAATCATCATCTACTCTTTGCTTTTTACTGGTATTTGAGGGGGTTTGCGGTGGAGAACACCCCGTATCACGCCTTTTACTGGAATGTCTAGCACAAGTGTTCTCAGACAGTCGTGCAGAATTAGATTTGCGTGTTGGTGAAAACTGTTTAAGCATTTCAACATCATTAAATATAACTTGAGCTCCCCCACCACATGTAGGGACAACATCCCCTTTGTACAGTTTTGTTTCCAATTCACCATCTGTATCTTGTTCTTGAGAGATGAGACAATATTTAGATGTTTTTGAATTTGTTATATCCTTAACACTGGTTAGTTTGTTTACTTGTTTACTGTGTCCTATGCTAGGTTTCATGACTGTTCCCATTGGTACTATTTTGTTAGGTGCATGTTCTATCCATCCACGTCCATCTGCTGATAATGACCGTCTGTGCCGTGGATTTGCAACTGCTACACCACGACGCGAAGTTGATGGTGTATCTTTTGTATGAGGAACTGAACTAAACGGTGTTAACATATGTGCTGGTAAAGCCCTAGGAGTTGAACCTGGTGTGAAATCACGGCAGCATGTTTGGGCAGCCATATCTCCCATCATTTTGGGCACTGTATCAACACTGTCTCTTTTATCAATGTTTAAGGCTTCAGCTATAATCCTTAAACGATTCTCCTTGTCTTCATTTGCATTTCTCAAACGCTCCTTCTCCGAATTAATTTCTTTTGCTTTTTCATGTTCTGCAGCAATTTTATGGTTGTATTTTCTTTCTAGAACCTTCTTTTGTTTTTCCTTGTCTATCTTATTTTGACTGAGAAGCAATTCTTTTTCTTGTAGCTCTCTTTTTAAAGAAGAAGTATATTCTGTCATTTCATTTAATTTTCTTTGATGTGACAAAGATGCATTTTCAGTTTTTGTTAAGCGTTCTTCTAAAGCTCTTACTCTTCGTTCCGAAGCTGCCAATTGTCCTCGTAATGAAGCATTCTCACTTCTTACTTCCAGAGATTCTTTTTCCAACTCTAATAATGCAGATCTTAACCTTTCATCTTTGACAGCTTTGCTACGTTTTAAAGTTTCTCTGCGACTAATCCTCATTTCTAAATGAGCCATAAGCTCTTTGATTATGTGGGCTGCCTGAGAACTGTTTAATTCTAGGCTAGGAAAGTCAGGCCCAAGACTGTAGACAAGCCCTAAATCAAGTTCCAATTCTTTAGCTTCCGGTCTCATCATATTATCCCTGGCAGCTGTGAACAGGCGATTAGCCTTACGTCTACCAGACATTAATCCAATAGCTGAAGCAATATCCGTTATCTGAGGCTTGGCAACCTCCACCTCAGCTGCCATTTCAGCAAATCTCATTACTTGGAGGGTTTCATCGTAGTCTTCAGCTCTTGGATTGGCACAAACTATCATACGTACCTGACCTTCACCCTCAAAAAAGTTTTTGAATAAAAGGGTGATTTTTGATTCACGGTATGGCACCATATTATTAGTACCATTGATCTGATTTTCTCGCAAAGCCTCCAAACAGGTTCTGAGAGTCATTAAAGATTTATTAATGTTACCTGCTTCTCTCAACCGCTGACCAGTATTTTTAGTCCTATTAGTTCGTTCACTACCTGCTAAATCTACAAGACTAAGCTGACTAATGGACAAAACATTTTTATTTTGTATCACCGCTTCGCCCATTTCATCAACTGGCGCCTGCACCAGCCTTATTGTGAAAACAGAGTGACTTCTACTTGATTCTGCATTTAAATTTGTATGAGCCATGCGTTTCCTTTTCAAACCCAAATAAAATGCATCAAAGGCTTCCTCCGCAGATTTAATTTCAATTTCGGTAACCCCATGCACATACATGTTATGAGCTGCATCTTCACGAATAATTTTAACTGGTAAATTTTTGCTGATAGGGGGACCATCTTCTAATAAATCAAACACACTGTTATTGTAAATCTCAACGTATGATACGAACACAGCATACTGATTGTCTTCATTCACACCATCGACCTTGGTAAGATCTGATGTAGACATTGCTAAATCTGGATTGGAATTATTTTTTTTACCCAATTTAAATTTATGCAGTTCCTGCTGCCTCTCTAACATTGCTTCAGCTTCATTTTGAATATCAAACATATTCATTTTGTCCGGCTTGAAAACATATTTGTGGGCTTGAAAATCATTTATTGTCTTAAAAATAACGTTCAAACATCGCGGCAGAATACCGCAGTTGTTAGGTTCACCTGTCATAGTAAAAGTTTTACCACTACCTGTAACACCATATGTAAAAAGTAATCCATTTTTCCCTTTAATAAGCCCTTCCACTAAAGGCAAAGCAACTTTATCGAAGACTTCTTGTTGGGACGTTTCTGGCGGGAACACTTCCTTAAATGTATACTTCATTGTTTTGGTATTTTCATTTCTATAGCTTAGTGCCGTCGATGGCGGCGTTAACAAAACAGTATTGCAAGAAATTATTTTCATGCAAGAAATATCAGTTTCTCGTTGCATTGGTCGTAGTCGGCAGTATACTTGAACTGGGTCTCGTTCAGTAGTAGCCAAGTTCTGTTTACTTCTAGCCGGTGTTCGCATTTCGTTTATTCTTTGTTTTGATTTTGCTGACTTCATTTTAAATTATTTTAATAATTAACGTGCACTTTAATCTATTTTAACAGTATTCTTTGATTAACGGTTTCCTTCTTTTCGATAAAATTAAACTAACGGACATCAATGTGACGATAACGAATATGTCCATAGACCATAGCCATAGCACCCTACAATTTTTAAATATTTTAAAGGCAAAAGTAAGATCCATTCAGCCTTATTTGACGTGACGTTCGTTTATTAATTTTTATTAACTAAAATTTTGTCTATTTTTATAGTGTTGTTTTAAGTAACAGTTGCTGTAAATTGAAATTGGCATTAACTTAAGTATAAAAAATATTCCAAACTGGTTTCAAAATAACAATTTATAAATGAACTTAGATAAAAGTAAATTTTATTAGTAATTTTATTAGATAAAACTTTAAAATGTACACTAAATATTGGATCTCAGCGCCACTAAAGTTATTCCTTGTAAAACATCTTAAAATCTATCAAATTAAATTATCTTGATTTGATTTTTTCTCTCACCTCACCTAAATAATGAGTGTTGTAATCGCCTATAATTGACGGATTGATTTCTTAAACTAGTTTTTACTGACATCATATTACTTATCTTTTATTGAAGGCTATTAATAAATTGATAACAATTCTTCAGATCCTATTTCCTCCTGGTATTTATTATATTTTCTATGACAAAAAGGCAGAAATACGTAGACGTTCATAAAATTATGTAGAATTAGCATCTCTGTTGCAAAACAAATATGTATAAGAGTAGTTATCCTTTTTAATAAGGTCTATGCGTAAAGGTAAGCCGCAATATAGCAGTGTTCAATATTTTTAGAGTTTTGCCAAGAACTTATTTACTCACGAATTGTTGCTCGGGTACACTGACCTCTATTATGCAAGTGCGCTGGACTGGATATACCTCGACATAATAAGGCGATTTGATTTTTGACATTTTCGTGCTTATATCAGAAGTAAGCGTCTACAGAACTAATAATAGGGATAGAACAGTGTGACAAAATATATCGATAAAAATTCAATACCCAGGTCTACCATTCTATTTATGTATCATTTTAATATAAAGTCATACAATAAATAAATATATCAATTAATACATATGTCACAAGACACATGCTTTGTACGGTACAAAGCATGTTGTACCTCATATAAAACAAAAATCGACTTTGTGTTAGTCTATCTACGTTTTTTTTCGTAACTATAGGAGAGGCTTAGTTCCGGATTTCACCATTCAGTATGTATGGTTTATTCGAGAGGTTTCAAAAGATCAATCAGTTAGTAATTACATTTATTATGATAAGTGACAGATTTTTAAGTGCTTATGTTAGCAAATTTATTTATTTTAAACTTCCCTTCTGGTAACGGCTTTCACATTATCATTGTTACTAAAAAATACTTTTTATTATATCAATGACATGAAACATAACCGAACTATACAACACACACTATTTTTCTCCTTTATAACTTTACAATACTCCTGGACGTTTTGAGCAAAACGACGGCCATTTGCAAATGATGTCAATTTTAGTTCTCGGTACACTCAATGGTAGCGCTTCAAATTGGCACAAACGTTTTGTAGTGTATAAGTGGCGGCACGAAAGTCTAGAGGTAACCGTTATTGCGCATAAGTCGCGCTGATGGGCTCGTGCGTATTGTTTCCACGCGCTGATTTACTCTACAGTCCCAGTCATGCAATTCAATTTGTGCGCGGCCACTCCACGTTTCGTTCAGCGCTAGACTTACGTGCCGCGACTTGTATAGCCAGTCCAGCGTACTAGAATATATGGAGGTCAGTGCTCCGGTATTATACTTATATCAAGGTTTGAAGTGATTGTGACACGTAAAAGTGGTGCAATTATGTTATTAAATGTCTACGTATGTAAATTATAAGTAAAGAGCAAAGATGATGTTAACTGCTGGATAATATATTGTTAAAAACTCTCATTTTGTAAAATATTTCGTAAGCAAATTACACCAGCCTAAATTAGGCTGCATGTGTATAGTTTTCGCTTCCTAATAATTAAAAAAGCTGTTTGCTTTTGGGTTGTTTTTGGTTTTTGTTTATATTTGTATACATAGCTATATTGTTTTGACTTTTGAATTTAGATTTTGAATAATTTGTAAAATTTAAATTTTTAGGGCGAAAAATATGATGGAAGGCGAGCTGATGTCTGGTCTTGCGGAGTTATTTTATACGCTCTTCTGGTTGGAGCATTGCCCTTCGATGACGACAACTTGCGGCAATTACTGGAAAAGGTACACATTAACTTGAAAAATTCTTTTTAGTTAAAGAGTTTTGTTTTAAATTGTCCTTTAACCTCTGGGAACTTGATTTCTATGTTACGCTTAGATAGTAAACTAAAGTAACGTTGAAAATAGTATCTGTACTGCTCTTATATCTAAGTCTATCAGGCCCTTTCGTTTGACCGCATCACAATCTAGAACTAATATAAGAATGCATTCAATGAATAGAGACTCGATTTGTCGAGGAGCAGGTTCTTTTTGACTTATTTAGTCCACTGGCCCAGCAAAGAGACATTCTGCCTGTGCGTTTTCTTTTGTATTTTTCATAGGAAATGTTCCACATTATAATATCTGATAATATTCATACTAAAATTATAATGTATTTATATTTTCAGGTGAAGCGGGGAGTATTTCATGTACCACATTTTGTACCACCTGATTGCCAGCAGCTTCTTCGTGGCATGATAGAAGTGAACCCTGAGAAAAGAATGACAGTAAGATTTTACATAATAATTTTAATGCAATCACTTTTTTTAATTTATGCTCATTTTATGTTATTTTGTTTCTTTAATTCCTGTATTTTTTTTTAAAATAATATTATCTATTTAATAATTATAAAACTTAAATTTTTTTTAGTTATTTTTCTGTTTCAACAGTGCAACATTTTGTAGTAATTTTTTAAATTCATAAGTGGTAAAATTAAAAATTTTCTACAACCAACTTCAATATAAATATAATTTATTTTTGATTTTATTAAAACTGCTCGAGTAATTTTGATAAAATTTAAACAGGACAACCTGGGAAGTACACCCTTTGAAACTAAAAAAGAACTTTTCATATGGGTTCTGGCGTCTTTGAGTAACCAGTGTACATACATAAAAAAAAAGAAATGAAGGAGAAGAAAATATATCAAAGGGAAAATATAGGATAGAATATTTGATTTACTACTGGTTTGGAAAATACCTCTCTCTCTTGAGAATAATCTCTGTAGAATTTTATTCTTTAATTATAATAGTTTTATAATTAATATATTGCACTATACTGGCTGGTACCCTTTGCATTGCTGCCGCAGAAAAAAATTATTGTGGAAATATTGTTTTAAATTTGGAAGGGTTACATTGTTTAATTAGGAATGATAATACATTCATTGATTTGAATTATATATAACTTTCATATAAAGGTACAATATGTACGCCACCTACTGTAAGTTAATTGTACCTTCATGCAGGTGCAAGCAATAAGTTGACAAAGTTTTACGTCAACCTGATGAACAGTATGGCAGTGCATAAAATATGAACAAACAAATATTAATTTATATATATTAGATGTAATGGATGAATGATGATCATATTCAGTCACCATTATCACCATATCATAGCGATAGAAATAATTTTTATTAGATCCTCTTTAATTTTAAATTTTCAGCTTGCAGAGATTACTCGACACCCATGGGTGACTGCCGGCGGTCGTGGGGAGTTGGAGCAGGAACTCCCTATGATGGAGGTTGTACAGACCCGTGTTCTACCTTCTGCTGATGCGATAGACCCTGATGTATTACAAGCTATTTGCAGTTTGGGTTGCTTCAAGCAGAGGGATAAGTTAATACAGGAGCTACTTAGTCCACAGTAAGTTTAATTTTTTAATAATATTTGTCTATATCAAAGAGATTTCATCTTGAACTATAAAGAACATAGCGGATTACGTTAAACTTAATTATATTGTTTCTTTAGTGATATATAATAACTATTCTCCAGACCATAATGATTGCTGTGGCCAGTCCCATTGGAGATTAGTCATCTGACCAGAACAGGATAATAGGGAATAGAGTGTGCCTGTGCACAAGCATAGGCATACTCTATTCCCTCACCCTGATAGTCCAATAGGACAGCAATCTTTCACGACCGAAGTTAGTTTAGGCACGGGGCCAACATCTATATGTCCTTTTCTATTCAGTGGGGTGAAACATCGCCAAATTCTTAACTCCAGGCTGCTACTGAGACAGACAAACCCAATAAGTGATTTTGGTCAGATCCAGGACTACTTGATCAGAGCAGTTGCACTTACAACCTAGACTGACCAGGCAGTCAATAAAATAACCTACAATACATGATTTCTTTATTCAATATATGTGGTATAATATGTGGCGAGTAATACATGGTAGAGCCATGCTGAAGCTATATTAGTAGTATAGTTGTAGCACAAATGGGTCGGCTAGACCGGGGAAGGACCACACTCACAGAATACCAGCATAAAATAGCAGCTTAACACTGCTATGTTTCTTATGGTGAGTGTATAGAACCGGAGACCCTTTTTACTGGAAAAGAGGCATTCCATCTTAGTCCTCACGGGTGACAACGCATCTGCATTTTGATTCGCAAACGAGGATAGATGTAGATGTCTATGTGCCACAGCAACCACTTACCATCAGGTGGACTGTGTGCTCGTTTGTCACCCTATGCTATAAAAATATATATATATAAATTACACATAATTCTTATTCAGTCATTTTTTGGTTCAGAAAAAACCTCTGTTGTGGGAAGAACCAGCAAGAAACCCAGCAGGGTTTGTCTAGTCTAATGTTGTAATGTTTAAATCAGATCCTTAATTGGACTTTAAGTTTTTTAAAAGGATGTCTCTGTGTGTGATGTACATACATACTATTTCTTTGTCTTGCATATTATGAGAACATAAAGCTTCAAACCAAATCCATTCAACATGCTGTTACACAATGAACAGTTTCATTATTAGTAGATTGGGACTTTCAATTGTAAACATCAGTTTCATTGGTTCGGGTGGTGATCAAATTTGGAATGACTGTGCACTAAGAATCTTTATTTTTTTTATGTGGTAATGGGCCACATGGAACTTCTGCCAATGTAAAATGTTATCCTATATAATATATATTTTTATAACTTCTTTACAATATGTTGATTCGTTACATTGCAAAGTTTTTAGTTTTGACGGCAGCTTGAGCAACCTGACTGTCGATGACGATAGTATTTCAAGGCATCGCACTTTTTTGCGCCTCGAAATCCACTTCAAACCCTTATTTAGAAATATTAATACAGGAGCAGCAATGCCCCAAAGCTCCTTGTCTGTATAAAAATCCTTTTTGTTTCAGTCACAACACAGAAAAGGTTATCTACTTTCTTCTGTTGGAGAGAAAACGGCGACGGCCCGCAAGAGATGACGAACCCCGCCCCCCGGCTCCCGCGACCCCCGCCGACCCACCACGGAAACGACTCGACACATGCCGGGTTTGTTTATGAATTAACGATTAATAACAAAATAAGAAATTGTATATATTTTTAACCATATGATTTGGTTTGCGAACGGGTGATTTAAGGCGCGGTTAAAAACAAATTAAAAATAATTTAAAATAAAGTGTGACATCAAATCAGCAGCACTAATTTTCAGTTGGAGCCTTGTGACTTCACTGTCAAGTTGGTTTGTGATTCTCCAATGGACCAATGGTCTTTTTAAAGCAATTATAAGGGCTGAATTCAAAGTGTAAAAGTGTAGTAATTGTGAAAATGTGGTTCCAAACTGTTATATTTGAGGTTATAAATAAGAACTTGGCTGTATCTAGTTCTTCGCAATAAAAATGTGTATATCGTCGCACAGTTTAAAAAAAATATTAGTGAAGTGAGAAACGAATTTATAGTGCACCTAATAGTAAATGGCTACTTGAGCCCATGGACACCTGCAACACACTTGAAAAAAAGAAAGCTACAGATGTGCGTGTCACTTGAAGAATTATACTGAGTCTCTATACCCTTTCGTCTGGAACATAGCAATTCAGGCACTGCTTTTTGGTTGCAAACACCTACCTGAAACCTACCCAGAGGTGCTTCTTTTTGCGTCTTTAGCCCATAAACAGTCTACTGCTGTATATTGGAGAACACCTCAATCCTCCCATGATCATGGGCACTATAAAGTACCTACTCGTAAACTATAAAATAATCGTCGGGAATTTAAAATTAGAAAATAAAGCGGATAAAAATGCAATAAACTAGTTTCATTAAATGTGTAGTGTTCTCGTAAACATAAGAAGTTATTATGTACTATCTATTTAAAATTCGAAGACATGAACCCTTTCAGATAAGAGAGGAGGCCTGTGCCCAGCTGTGGGACGTATATAGGCTGTAACTATACTATACAAATTGCAACATAATTTTTTTTTTATAGAATGAGGTTGACAAACTGGCACACAGTCCACCTGATGGTAAGTAGATGCCGTGGCCCATAGACATCTTTGATTAAGATCAAAATGCAGATGCATTTTCACCCCTGAGGACTACGATGGAATGCCTCGTTTCCAGTAAAAAGGGTCTCCGGTTCTCTACACTCACCATATGCAATACAACAGCGTTAAGCTGCTATTTTATGCCGGTATTCTATAAGATAACCAATTATACATTATTAAAAACCCTAAATTAATATCAGATTTGTTATTCTACAGGTAAATGGTCAATCAGCACATTTTGGACAGATAAGTGAGGGTTCGCCAATTACGCCAAGAAGATCACAGATTAGGTATGTAATAGTTGTGTTTGAAATTATGGATGCAAACCACATTTTTCTTCGTTTAAAAATCAAAATCTAGTCGAATTGTGTGTTGTGACCCCTGAGGTCTAAGGTAGACTGTCTCTATCATTGAAAAGTTCTTAGGTTCTTGTCACACCCCGTACAAAGAACACTAGGATAATGCGGCTATTTTACGCTGGTATTCTGTGTGGTCCTAATCTTAACACAAATGCAGAGTGGTTCTACCAAGTTTAAAAATTTCCTCAAAGATTGGTAGAAAGTAGCTACCACTTGCGCCTATTCACTGCAATTCTGCAAGTCAAGTCAAGTCTGCAAGTCGTCATTCCATATTGTAATTGCTAAACCAAAATCAAAACCATTTTTGGGGGTCCCGCACCCAAAGGCTAAACAACGGGGATTCTATAGCTTCCGTTATCCGTCCGTTTGTTAGCTGGCTGTATCTCATGATCCGTAATAGGTAGACAGTTGAAATATTCAGAATGTGTATTTCTGTTGTCGCTATAACAAGAAATAATAAAATCAAAATATATTAAAAATTAAACGGGTTTTCCTCCTAGAAAAGTGTTTTACTATGGTACGGAACCCTTCATACGCGAGTCCGACTCCCACTTGGCCGGTTTTTTTTCGGTTCTACAAGATCCATTAACACAAGCGATAGGTTGTCGATTCATTTATTGTTAACGGAACTTAGACCGAGAGCTTCCATTCGATCAAACGAAGTTTTATTAGAAGTCGTCATGTTAATTAGTCAACAGACAAATCTGTACAAATATATAGACTAGTGTAAACTACATTTACGTGTTGTCGTTGCTTTGCCAATAGATAGGAATGTTGTGGACTCTCAGTTTAGTAGTCTAAGAATAAGAAGGAAAGTTCATTTACACGCCAAAAAAAAAAACAGCTGGTATCATTTCACCATTAGCGTATAATTATTGTAGTTGCCCGCGTAGTAGCGACCTAAGAGAATCCTATACCGCAGGGATGACGAACCAATGGCACGCGACACAATATTTTGGGCACGCCGCCGATCACAAAGTTTACTATGGAGTATTCTATTACGAACGACTGCGAGTGATCCTACGCTACGCAGTGTTCGGGTGCGGCGGTAATCACGAAGTAAAAATAACTTGACGGCACGTCTATGGCCTCCTTAAACATTTCTTTAAAAAATGGCACGTTGATACATAAAGGTTTGCCACCCCTGCTATACCGCATATCATCCCGTGGGTATCATAAGTGGCGACAGAGGGAAAAGAAACAGGATGGGTAGCAGCAACTACCTTATAAAAGTCAAAATAATAAAAAAACTGCTATTGCCAACCTAAATGCCAAGAGTGGCAACTATAGTAAATATCTGCTATGTGGTCAACTATGGGGGACACCTATATTTAGCAGTGGAATAGGTTGTAATGAATTATGTATATTATTATTTTTTGTATATAAAATATAAATGAATGAATGAAATCAAAATTCTACATATAGTAACCAACTATTTGATTTTTTAGCAGATCTTCGTCAGGGCGGCGTGAAGGTCGCAGTTCACCTCAATTGGCAGCAAGCCCACCAGGTAAATTGAAAACTCAACACGCACATAAGTGCATCTCCTTATCCATACGCATACATACAAGGGTACATACATGCCAACACACACATATATACACATTTGTACGCTCACGAATATGCTTGATCTACGTACATAAATATGAAAACATTTAAGCAACTTTTTGAGACTAAAACTGCAGTCTATTAATTTAGAACTCTCCTAAATCACGTCACATAGTTCGCTTCTTCAAGAATATTTTAACATAATTAAATTCCCATTTAAATTTAAATTAGATATTTAATATTTAAAATAAGTATTTCTTTTTCCTTTTTATCACCTAGTTCAAGTTTACGGCTGGACATGGGCCTCTCTTGTTGTAAGGAGGTCTTTTCTTTCTTTTCTTTTTCTTCATTTAAAAAAAACGTTACACTAGGATTTTCTCCTGTATTGTGGAGGCAGTTTACAAACATAGATTGCTCGAGGACAAACATCCAGACCCGGAACAATTATTTGTAGGCCATACAAATTCTTGTTCCGTGCGGGGTTTGGTCTGATTATATATAATCGCATTTTATGACAGCAGACGAAATGAGATGATGGTTTCTTTTTTTATAGAATGAGGGTGACAAACGTGCACACAGTCCACCTGATGGTAAGTGGATGTCGTGGTCCATAGACATCTACATTTATTTTTGATAATCAAAATACAGATGTGTTGTCACCCTTGAGGACTAAGATTTAATGCCTCATTTCCAGTATAAAGGGTTTCCGGTTCTCTACACTCGCCATACGAAACACAGCAACATTAAGCTGCAATTTACGCTGGTATTCTGTGAGACCGGTCCTACTCCGGTCGAGTCGACCCATTCGTAGTACAACTATAATATAGCTGCAACGTGGCTCTACCACGTAAATAAAAATACCATCCTATAGTCTTTTAAACCAACACCACACGTAAGTTACCCTGAAAAACCTCTACCAAATAGGACGCCACGTTTTAGATCACCTTTTATTAATTACCATTATTTTATGTTAACATCATGTTTAATTTTAATTTTACAGCTAGCCATACTCCACACCGCGTCTCTTCGTTAGGCGGGACACCAGCAACACCTGGATCACCTCTTGGTAAGTTGTAAAATATAATTAAGTAAGTAGATTAAAAAAGTAAAGGAGACTGATACGCTTTCATACATTCCTGGGCCCAGATTGTAAAAAGATGAAAGTGGTGTAAATTAATAGCTTATATATTATTAAAGCGTCACTGAAAATTCTGCGGACTTTAGCAATCTGAGAGCAGAGTTATAAGAGATTTAGTAAAAGAGAGGTTATGCAACAAGTTGGCAACAACTTATACTAAACAGCTGATTTTTGAAGTGGGATTGCCATTTTGGAAGGATCATGTGCCTAATGCATTACAGCGACTGTCGCTATGCCACAATTCACACAGCGATCCATTGAATCAATGTCCAATTGATAAAATCCAGGCCGTAAAATCCACAATAACGAGCAAAAGTTAAACGAGTAAACAAGATTATCGGTGTTCGGTATGTTAGCAAGGATCGTACAAGTTAAGTAAGATCAGAAGTCCGTAGAAAGAAAGTAGTGATCGAGCAATATAAATCAATAAAACAACGGGAAACAAAACACACACGTACTAAACGATACGAGACGAGTGATCATAGACATAGATTGAGTCATGCAGGAGCTGTCACTATCAGCACAGATTAAAAATACAGTCGACAAGCACAAGTAATAAATCGAACTGTAAACATGAATCGATTTTAAGATTTATTTTTATTATGCTGATCTTTTATTTTTAAACTGTTGACACTATGTTAATATATTGTAATGTATCTATTTACTTTGGTTGAATCAATCATCTGATTTAAGTTGTTTTTATGTTTAATTGTTAAAACTCATTCACATTAATCGATTAAAGGAATCGATTTCCTATTTTATTAGTGACAAACTTATTTTCAAGATTTCTCGTCTTCCAGATTGTGGATTGGGCAAATTTTTTATATATTGAAATAGAAAAATATAACGCTTTTTTTTAAACCATATTACAACTGGGCCCAGAAATCCCCGTCTCCTTTACAGCTTATATAAGTTACTAGCTGTGCCCCGCGGTTTCACCCGCGTATATCACGCATCTGCGCCTTGCGACATGCGAACTTCGAGAGAGACATCACGACGGACGGTTGCTGAATTAACAAAGATTTAAAAAGTGAAATATGTTACTAAAATTACATGGTTAACGTAATTGGTGGTTATGCATGATACAGGTACTGATACGAATAATGTCTAGGCCACATTATTCGTATCAGTACGTACTCGTATTAGTAGTATTTGTACCGGCGTTACTATTTCACATTTTAACATGAAAAAGTAGTTATTGTGACATAACTGTAATAGTTAAGCATATGGTATCGCAGACTTTTTTGTAGAGAATAATATCCTCTATAAAAGTGAAGTACATTACTTTGCTCTATTATTAATACGAGTAGTTTCCGAAGCGTACGCGATATAAGGATTCTTTTTGGTATTTTTTTCACACCTTGGGTTACATTAACGAAGTTTTCATACGGATCCCAAACTTTTTTGAAAATATTACATAGCCTATGTTCATCAAGGATAATGTAGGATTCTAATGGTGAAAGAATTTTTCAAATCGGTCCAGTAGTTTCGGAGCCTATTCAATTCAAACAAACAAACAAATCTTTCCTCTTTATAATAGTAGTGTAGATTATCACATTTAATGTTTTCTTATTTTACTTGGTTGCAGCGTCGCCGTCTCTCCGCGAGCACCACCATCAACGTGCTAATTCCACGGGGCCCACGATTAGTCTGAATATCAGTAAGTGTTATAATATGTATATACCTATCTTTTTTCATGGAATGAGGGTGATAAACAAGCTCACGGACCACCTGATAGTCAAGTGGATGTGGTAGCCCATTAACACATATTATATTTAGCCTGTATTAAGAATCAGAATGTAGATGTAAATACGGGTAGAGTTTATAATTATTTATTTATTTAAACTTTTATGCACAAAGGAAAAATCGTACATATGGCGGACTTAATGCCTTAAGGCATTCTCTCCCAGTCAACCGTTAGGCTAAGCAGAGATAAACATATGGGAGGTAGTGCAGCAAAAATAAAATAATAATGAGAAAAAAATGTAACGAAGTTCGAATAAACCAGAATATATATATATAGAGTGTTGTGGAACACTCGGTTGGAACGAAGATCCTTGCGTAGTGTATTATTATTGATAAACGTAGGTATTATATTATTGATTAATAAATACAATATATGAATTACTAGCGTCTATTGAAATGAAGCGTCACTTGAAATAAAATAATAATCATTGAGTCTTTCAAAAATGTGGTAAAAGATTATTATTTAAATATGTGTTCTACTTAATATATTTTATTGTCATATCTACTTTTCTTCATAAGGTTTATGTATATGATATATAATTATAATGTATTACAGAAATATTTATAAAAGTGTATGTATTCTATGTATGTATATGTATATATTTGTTTATGTGTATAAATATATATAATATTATTTTTAATATATGCTTGTTTATCTACTATTTATGCACACTTCTATATATTTAAATGAAAATTATCTCCTTCACTAAGGTTTGCCTGGAAGAGATCGCTGTTTAGCGATAAGGCCACCTAATTGTACATTCGTTGATAAATTTAAGTTTTCTGTGTTGTGTAGTGTTTTATGTGCAATAAAGAGTATAAATAAAATAAAATAATAATATTTCTTTCATGGCAGGATAAGAAAAAGTGCGAGGGAGATGGATATTATTCCATCTCACTTCCTTATTTCGCCGCCAAGGCCGTCTACACTATGACACAAGGAGTAGTGACGAAAAAATCTTACACTATTTGTCGCCTAGCTCCCATCCGCCAAACCCGTACCGTCCGATAAGGAACTTCGTTCCAAAATAGTATATAAGTTTATTTCTAACGTATGTGATTCTGCTAGTGTAAAAAGAGAAAGTCTTATGTTGTCAGTTTTCTTAACTTGCAATACTTCGAGTACTGCGGGTTCAAATCCCGCACGGAATAAGTATTTGTATGGCCTACAAATAATTGTTCCGGGTCTGGATGTTTGTCCTTGTGCAATTTGCGTTTGTAAACTATCTCCACGATGCAGGTGAAAATCCTAGTGCGGGGTAACGTTTTTATTTATTTATTTATTTGTATGGATCTCCAACAGTTGTACATATTAAACTACTTCTAACACATGCCTTACATCTACAAATTACTATGTACTACCAATTATAGGAGAACACATCTTTCTAAAACAGTGTTTATAATTTGCCTATTTTAATGGTAGTTGTAACAAAAATAACAAAAATAAGTTTAACGAACAAAAGATAGATAATAGTTTTTGTAACATAAATTAAAGTTAAGTTTAGCATAAAGTTAGTGACTAATTAATTTTCCAAACTATCATTACATTTTTTCATAAAAAGTGTGAGCCAATCACAACCAATGTCTAGTGTTGCTATGTTTTTGACACATACATTGTATACACGTGATATACATGTTATTGGAGAATTCTGTCCAAGTTTTGTTCTAGTGCTACCAGCCTTAAAGAAAGGACATGGGTTGCGAGGAGGTCTCCGAGGTACATTAATATTAAATCTACTCAACAGCTCACTGTCATCAATTTTACCATGGAAAAGTTTATGAAGAAATTTTAAATCAAGAAGAGATCTACGAACTGCCAGTGGTTTCATCCTAAAGTAATCAAGTTTATCTTTGTAGCACTCACTATGACTTGACGCCTTAAGACGAAATATTAGGTGTTTAATGAGTCTTTTTTGAACACGTTCTTTCAATGTGGTTTTTGTAAGCGGGAGACCATACTTGACAACAATATTCAAGTTTGCTACGGACCAAACTGTTGTACAGTTGAAGTATTGTTGTTACCTTTTTAAAATCTTTAGACTGTCTAAGAACAAAGCCGAGCAACCTGAAAGAAGCAGTCACTATAGAATTTATATGTTTATCGAATCTTAATTTGCTATCAAATATTACGCCCAAGTCTCTAATGGAATTAGTTTCCTTCAGCTTTTTACCCAAAATGTTGTTAGAACTCATTAATGGTTTTTTTTCTAATGAATTTTATAAAACTATATTTGTCTGGATTGAGCAGCATTCGATTTGTTTCACACCATTTTACAAGTCTATCAAGATTCGCTTGTAAGTCTATTACATCAGATTCTTGCTTTATAACTTTAGCTATTTTTAAATCGTTTGCGCACAAATAAACCTGACAATTTTTAAATACATTTACTATATCATTAATAAACAAAACAAAGAATAAAGGCCCTAAATTTGATCCCTGCGGAACACCAGAAATACCATTGAAAGAATCCGTACACTCGCCATCAATTACTACTCTGGCATTTCAATTAGAGAGATAGGATTTGCACCAGCTTAAAAATGTATTAGAAATGCCAAAATATTCGAGTTCTTTAACAAATATATTATGGTATATTTAAAAGAAAATACTGAAATATGACGTCACATAATGTCCGCCCATTGGCCGGTTCGCCATTTTAGTTTCTGGTTCTGAGTGGGGCATCCAATCCCGCACGTTATTTGTAATCTCGGTATTTGCAGGGTCTGAATTTCAACTTCTTTTGTTGAAAATGTTTACGAAGAAAACTTAACGTATCCAAAGTCTCGTCTTTCAGACTGCTTCGCATGTTACACAGTTTGCACACTAGACAGTTTGCTGCAAACAAAGCCCTTTCGGCTTCCAAACTTGTGGGCGGAATAGATTTAAGGGGCATTATATGTCAATATCATATATACTTGCCCATCGAATGTCCCGAGTCATTTCTTTTTAATAATAAACTCGACGGAATTGACTCGGGACACTACACAATCAACTTAAGAACTCGTGTAGGAAACAAGCCAGAGTGGGTTCTAATTCTTCTTGCAATAACAGGATTTGCGGTTCGTCATTTTTGTCGTCATCGTTTTGTGTTGTGTCATTCGCCGCCTCATCAATAGAAAGTCGCCTGAATCCTCATCAACATCATCAGGAGATACGCCTATGAAATGTATCTTTTAGACAAACTCCTTTATTTCCTTCCATAACACAATTTTCGATGGGAAGCTGAAGGTTTCGTCGTTATCGAGGCTTGTTGATAGTATTTACTGGAGATAAATAAATAAGTTGGTTCGCCTTTGTAAAATACGTTGTCGTAATGAAACTACCAACTCTGCAGCCAACGCCGAAGTTGAACTAACTTCTTCTAATTTATTGATCATGAATTTTAAAGTAGCTTCTGCTGTAACAAGACTTCTTTCTTGCCGATAAAGAACCTCAACAGCAATCATAACCGGTTTAAGTGTTTGTTCTAATTTTAACAATGTATCTAGTTCATACTCCGAAAAATCCCGCAAATCCCGCGGATACCGCACACAAAATCTCGCTACCTGCGGGACTACACTAAGTAACATTTTATTTTTACTTACTTTAACTTACAGTCCACTAGATGGTAAATGGTTACTTTAGTTAAGCAGTACACGTACTACTGCGGTGGTGGAAACGCGTAAGAGAGTGGTACCTACCCAGACGTACATCTAGGTTGAAAAGGAATCATACCACATAAGTAAACACAAACGTTTCCTTGACTTTGCAGGCGGCGAGCCTGGCGAGGCTGTCATTATTATAAATGAATCACCATTAATGGGTTCCTCTGTGGCCGTCCGGCCGCACAGTCCTTCACAGCCGCATCGAGGTAAGTTTAAGTTACAATTGCGAGTTTTTTATTTCTCAGGTATGCTCATGATGTTTCCTCACGATATTTTCCTTCACCGCCGAATACCTGGTCAATCACAACAACAAAATTGTAACTAACAATTTTGAGAAGGGTGGATAGAACTCGTTTTAATCGCATACTATGAAATTTCTCCTCTCGCTTTCGAATGTCACGCTCCTGAGCTACATGACTCATAATGAAACTTAACTTTTAAGAGTAATCTCTATATTTTATTTAAGAGGATATCGGATTGCTAGAGTTTTAATAGATCTATTACTGTCGCGTCGTGCCCAAACGATCGAGCTAGACAAGCGAGAGAAACAACTGCAGCTCTTACTATGTACTTTTAAAAATTTACGAAATCATCACCCCGTATTCTTACTGTTGCCTCCTCCGTAACCGAACCCTTGTTTTAACAACAATATAAGAATGATCTGTCTCTTTTATTGATTATGTTCGTTAAAGGACCATGCCCATATTAGTATGGAGCTGAAAGTCAGCAATGCCATGCAATGCCCAAATTGCAGCTCTATGTCATATGATAACTTTTTAACAGTATTTATATAATATCTAGATTTAATGTCATATAAAGCACCGGTTCAAAAGATATTGGACATTAAACATGATAACTTCCTACTGGTTTTTTTATACAGTGAAAGAATGAGTGACAGTCATTTTAGTTTTTTTGGAATGTTTTTGGCTTGGAGCTAAGTCTTTTGAGCCATTAATTCATTAGGTTTTTGCTTTAATTATATTTGTTTATTTGAAGCCTAGATATACTTATACACTACCACAAAGTACTTTTTTTACTTTTGAGTGTCTGGAGACATCATTTAGATCTTTATTCAACTCGTTGATGATTCAAATGTAAAATAATAATCGATATTGGAATCGATTACTTAGATCAATTGATCAACAAAAAAAACAACGATTCCTTTTTCGAAGATTTTATTTATCATGCCAATTATTTAGCCCCGAACTAAACTAAGCCTAAGATTTTATAATTTAAGAGACTGTCAATGTGGGATAGGTGAACAAACAAATAGTCCCATAAATGGCGTTGGTAAAAAACTAGTCTGTCTCTGGCTTTTGATAACAAAAATGAATACTTAACTGGGCCATGTTTTTTTCATCTGATGACGTTTATTATAAAATCATATTTTTATTTGGTTTTGTTGTAAAGCAGTATATTATTATTCGATTATTTACTAATCACTTTTATGAGTAATGTCAATCATGTTGAGTTTTACACGGGCTAAAGGACGTGATTCCAGACCGTAATAAATAAAGCAATGAATTAATGATTGAAACGATGATACGTACTGCAATGTCAACAAGAACGTCTTATTTTTTTTATCCAATGCTTCATATGATTTAAAATGAACAACATAATTCTAGTTTTTATTTCTTAGAGCAATCTTGTAATATACTTTATCTGGGCATTTCTGGGGCACAGATGGGCATTGTCTTGTTTGCTGGGTGTCTGTTAACGACAGTAGGTATACCTGGAAGTTTTTTGTATTATTTTAGAAGGTTCCCACTTTTTATTATTATTTATAAAACATTAATTAGGGAGGGATCTTGTATAGACTAAACAATTTTGGATCTCGTATAAAAAACAATTTAGTACGATAGTTACAGTAACATTCATTATTTATTATTGTAGTGAGGGAAAGATCATCTCTACCGGGTCCGCCCAGCTCCGCCCAGTCGCCCGCTCAGCCGTCGCTGTTCCCCAACCTGGGCACCTTAACAGGTATTATATGTATGTGGCGCTTTTTGTCTCGTGTATAGTAGACGAGCTTGTAGACTTGCATGAAAATGCTGAAGATTAGCTTTAAAATTAAGAACTAACTAAGGTAGTATTTATTCCGCTTCAATGACGTGACATACTAGTATATTTTTGTTGCTTACGCCTTACTTAGAATTGGGAATATATATAAATATATATATACAAAAATACAAATGTCCATCGAATTACTTATGCTTTTGTTGTACTTTTGCTGCTGTAATAATAAATTATCCTTTAATTTAATTTGTTTCAACATTTCTTGACATTATGTTGATGTGATGGCGTCATATTGCTAAGTTTTTACATGGTAGAGCCATGCTGCAGCTATATTAGTAGTATAGTTGTAGCACGACCGGAGAAGGACCACGCTCTCAAAAAATACCAGCGTAAAATGGCAGCTTGACACTGCTGTGTTTCGTATGGTGAGTGCAGAGAACCCCGAGAACCATTTTAATAGAAAAGAGGCATTTCATCTTAGTCCTCACGGGTGACGACGCGTCTGCATTTTGATTCTTTATTGAGGATAAATGTAGTTGTCTATGGGTCACAGCAACCACTTACCATCAGGTGGACTGTGTGCTCATTTGTCACCCAATCCTATAAAAAAAATTTTGGGAGATTGTGTCTGGGTCAGCAGATAGTCGCTGACGATAGTATACATAATAACTTGAGATTCAAATCGCCATCGGAACACTTGTTTCACCGTTCCCACTAAAAGTTCACATGCACTGACATCTAATACACAAAATCGCACGACTTCTAATAATAATTATTACTTTAATTTTTCATTACTTTTTTATTAGTTCAAGTGCTTTTTTCACATCAATGTGTCCGGTGTGTTTGTGAGTCAATCAAGGTCCCGACTGTAAACCTTTGTTGCTGTGGTACCCCTTAGAGTACCACTGGGGTGGGATCTTTTTTGACATCACACAACAGTAACTGCATAATTACCAATTTGTTATTAGTACTGCAAATTTTTATTTATTAATTAAGTATCATAAAAAAGCAAATGTTGTGTGTTGGTCAATTAAATGTTTAGATTTTTCGTTTTTTCTTTCACTCCAAACCATCAAGCGATAAAATCAGGATTTGGCCGTGTCGTGGATATTACCGTATGTTTTGTGTGAATACGTGTGCGTAACGAAATGATTTCAAAATGGCGGCGCTACCCTCTCCGCCGCTTGTGATGCGTTGCGCTGTTGAGGCCTTACTCAACTAAACGAATTCTTTGATCCTTTAACTATCGAGTTATCATTACAGCCCTTCATAAAGCCACTGCTGAACATAGGCTTCCCCCAAGGAATGCCACAAAACAGTCTAGAGCCGTATCTAGCCGTATCTATCGACTTTCTGTATTTGACCAATTCCGGTCAGTTCGTATCTGCAACTGTCGTAACTGCGGGATCGTTCTATACTTCGCTTATCGGTACGATGCTACCATTCAAGAACTTTCTGTCCCATCAGTTGTCGGTTCAGCTTATTAATTCGTTGCGCTATGTCGGTTACTCTGGTTCTACTGCGGTTATCCTCATTTACAAGTTTTTCACGCAGAGAAACCGCGAGCATATGAGGGTGACACTGAAAGTTGTTAGAAAATAAAAAACTAAACAAACTAGCAAGTAATTAGTTTTATTATATCTTTTCAAAATGGTGTCCATTTACATCAATACATCGCTGCATCCGATGGAACCACTGAAGAAAGCACTTTGCCCACTCGTCCTTAGGGGTCTCTTCGACGGCATTTTGAAACACAGCCACTGCTTCCTCGGCGTCCATAAAACGTTCCTCGAAGTTTTTCTTTTATTTTCGGAAATAAATAAAAATCGCAAGATCGGGGCTATAGGGTGGGTGACCCAGTAAATCCACGTCTGACGTCGCCAAGTAGTCGATTGGTTGCTTGGCGGTGTGCGACGAGCTGTTGTCGTGGTGAAGGAGGATCCTAGTGCAAGGTCGTTTGTCCCGAACTTTTTCCAAGACAAGTGGCAAGCTACATAAGGGTACCACTCTGCAGTAACTGTTTTTCGATCCTCTAAAACAATTGTTGCGTAATGACCTCTCCTTCCGAAGAACGAGGCCACCATCTTTTTTCTTATGCTTCGACCTGCCTTCATTTTAGTTGGCAACTCCTCGGAAGGAAACACCCAGACAGCAGACTGTCTCTTAGTTTCAGGATCATAACAATAAATCCGGCTTTCGTCACCCGTAAGTATGACCAACACAGCATTTGCGTCACCTCCGGACGAACCCGTCCGGAGGTGTCGCAAGTCCTTAACACGACGGAGTTTTTGGGGCTCTGTCAAATTATGAGGTAGCCACCGGACACAAAGCTTCCTGACCGCTAAATGTTCATGGAGGATTTTTCGCACTTGACTCATACCGATGCCTAAGCTTGTCTGAATCTGCGGATAAGTCACTCTTTTGTCAGTCTCTATCACACGCCGCACAACACTGACTTTATCTTCAGTCGTCGCCGTAGCAGGCCATCCCTCACGCAGATCATCGGTGACATTAGTGCGACCACGTTTAAACTCATATTAAACCAGTTGTAAACAGTGGCACGAGATGGGGCTTCATCGTTAAAGGCCAATCGAAGTCTATCATAACTTTCTTGTTGACTTAAATTACAGCGAAAATCATAAAATATCATTGTACGAAAATTTTCTCGCGTTAAATTCATGCTGACGAGACACACACAATTTTCAATTTGCCGTCATATCATAAACAAATGACAAATTAATAAAATACATACACAATAATATTGGCAAAGAGTTCCATTTTCAAAATTTGAACTTATTTTTTTTTATTATGTCGTTTACAAGTGGTTGGTTCTAAAAACTTTCAGTGTCGCTCTCGTATCCGTCTCCACAGCTCGCTGAGCGACCTTGAGCTTCCTTATACAGCCAACAATGAAGGATCACGTCTTAGATCAGATCAGATAGGTCATCACTGGTTGTGTATGTAGTCGGTGGAAGGAAAAAGGGAGATCTCTCCCCGGGCAAGGTGTTCTGCCCGGGGAGCGGCCAACGCTTCTGGTGGTAATTCGGAGCTATTCTATATATACTGCTTTAACTTCGGAACTTTGTTAGCGCGATTTACGCTTCGATGTATTTCGCTTGTGGCGCGACAACAGCGCCGCCACAGTGCAATCTCCTGGAATGGAAGCAAATTTAAAGACGTATTCACATCAAAATAGCAGCAGAAATTCACCAGCGTTGAAGTTCTCGTCAAAACTTTCATAGTAAATATTTGTTGTGGCAGCGGGCGCGGGCGCGGGCGGGGGCGGCGCGGCGGGCGCGGGGGGCGCGGCGGCGCCGTGGCGCGCGCGCCTCGCCACCATCAAAAACTCCTTCCTCGGCTCGCCGCGCTTCCACCGCCGCAAGATGCAGAGTCAGTATGCACTTTATGTCTATAGCATAGAACTCATTTTTGCATGCGCAATTATTGATTGAGATTATTTATTCATTTGAGTTATTCAGATTATCTGAAACATAATATTTAGTCCTTGCATGGACACTGTTGCTCAAACCGCCTAATAACAGTGATACATAACTACACACTACTAAATAAACGTTTATTAATAATTTACAGGCTAATTTTCTTAAAATGGTTAAGAATTGCTAAGTTCACCTCATTATTACAGTCAATATTATTTAAATATACCGTGTAGTGGCGGTGTAAGAACATCCACTACCCCATATCGTCCCGTGATTATCGTAACAGGCGACAGAGGGAATCTGAAACAGTAGATGGGCAGCAGCATCTTTCTGATAACAACACAATATTATAAAAAAATGCGGCTGCCAACCAGCCTGCCAAGCGTGGCAACTATGGCAAAATCCTCCCTATGAAGATATTTATGGGATTACAGCCTATAAAATGAGGCTTCAGCTGTGGAATTTTATAGGCTGTAATGGAATGTCTTAAAGTTTTCTATCCGTAGTAATCATTATTTAAACTAATCGTATTATCTGAAACAGTTTCATTCCCTGCATGACACTCATGACTGACATCTTCGTTAATCGAAGACTGTTACTCTGTCTACTCATTCATCTTCACCGTTGTTTGGTGTCCAAGCCAACTGGAATATTCTGACTGAAAAGTTAAAACAACTTTCTTGCAAACAAACATTTAGGAAGAATGTTCAGGCTCATTTTCTTAAAATGTTTCAAAATTGCCAATTTCAGTCATCATTACAATGATTCCACCTATAAAAAAATATATGGGAGAGACCAATGTTAAGTAAGTGGGCTTTGATAAACCTAATGATGATCATGATGTTGATGACCAGAAATTTACTGCAATTATAGTGAGAGTCGACGGCGGGATGTAATGCCTACATGTAACGGGAAAGGGATGTTTGACAAGACTGAACAGTGCCATACAAGATTAGATTAGCTTAGATTCTTAATTAGATTAAGAAGTTCGACATGTTTTTGGTTGACCATGCAGTACTGGCAAACTATCCCATACATACAAAATTTTTGAATCGATATCTCTAGTGCTATATTAGTGTAGTTTCCAACATCGCACAAGTTTAAACGGGCCGAGACACCTTCCCATCATTACCTGCCTTTCTAACCTATTAAATACACTGCTAGATTTAGAGACCTTTAAAAATGCTGCTATATGACGGGTCCAGTACCACTTCAGCCTACAATTTGGCTCTTCTGAGTCTACTGTGTATAGATCCTAAAAAAGTCACCAAGCATCCTTGGCCGATTTGCCAACCGAATGATGCTAGTGCAGCAGTGATGGACTAAGTTCACAGCTCTCGAAATATAGAGGTTTGAATAAATATCCATCATAACTTCTGTATTAAAATATTACTTCTTCTTTTCCTCAGCGTCGTCAGAAGAGGTACATCTTACGCCGGAATCCTCGCCCGAACTGACGAAGCGGTCTTGGTTCGGTTCCTTGCTGCTGTCCGCTGACAAGGAGGAAACTTTCACCGCACTTGTCAAGGGGAAGCCCCTGGCAACGGTTAAGGCTGATCTCATACACGCCTTTCTTAGTGTAAGTTTATTTATAAACCTTAAATGTTGTTTTAAAATAGCAACAAACAGCATTGTTATAAAAAGCTAGACTTGTAATTTTCAAACTGAACGACTTTTCGATGTTTATGAAATATCGATATTTTTATACCTTTTTTAGACCTTTTAGGCTCCAAACCTTTTTAACCTTGACATCGTTAATAACTGACACTATATACAGTGGATTTCGGGTATAACGACGATGGAAGGGACCACTTTATTTTCGTCGTTATATCCGGAAGTCGTTACAGGCAAAGGTAACAAATTCAATACATTACAGTTGCTACTCAGAATATCACTTTGTATCTGAAACATAAATTTAAATCCGAAACGTACACGCTTCCTTACCTACTTAGCTGATAGGTATCTACAAACAAAAGGTAAAGGTCTACACTGGCTGACCATCTGTGTGGATGTAAACAAAAGATAAGAAATGTTTGTCAAAGAAAGAAATCTTTGTGTCTTTGGCGGCCGACTCCGGTCGCAATATCTGCATGGGATTTCTAGGAATTTGTTACAAATGATTCATTAAAAACAGTCGCTACATCCGAACTCGGCGTTACATCCAAAGTCGCTATAGCCACACGAATTTTGTACTAAAATATGCTTTAAATTCAAGGGACTTAGATTTAAAGTCGCTATAGGTAAATGGTCGCTACAACCAAGGTCGTAATAAATGAAATCCACTGTATATATATATATATATATATATATATACATTAATGTCTTTTAGGTAATACATCTTTTGAACGTCGACAATTTCGAATAGAATAGATTTTTTTTAACATATAATATCTTGTCATATTCAATAATGATGCATATTCTTCACAGATAGCGGAACTGTCTCACAGTGTGCTAAGTCCGATGTCCTTCAGAGTTGAGTACAAGAGAGGGTCCAACGCGCCTGCCATGTTTCAGAGGCATGTGCGTTTTCAGGTCAGTCTTTGTAATAAATTATATTTGGTAAATATGCGTTACTGGGGCCACGAGTGAAACTACTGCTTGCAACTAACACACTGATTTATTTCTTAACTATGACAAGTGTATACTTGTATACTTATACGTAGTCGTACACAGGTACCCACCAATATTTATTTTAACCAATATTAATATGAACAAGTATATATTTGACTACGTTTTCGTTTACTTTGTGAATTAATATTGGAGCAGAGTCCGTTTTTTTTTTCTTTATACTACTTTTTTATTTTAGTAGACAGAAAAGAATTAATTTAGTAGTGTCACTAATTGCAAGATGTGCCATATCTGCCCTTTAGGCAGATATAATATTATTATTCAGGTATTTCAAAATCGGGTTTTAAAATAAGTTATAGATATAATGTAGGGTAATTATTTTATAGGATAAGGGTGACAAAAGTGTTCACAGTCCACCAGGTAAGTGGATGCTGTGGCCCATAGACGTCTACATCTTCCCTCGATTAAGAATTAAAATGCAGATTCCTTTATACCCCTGAGGACTAAGATGGAATGTCTCCTTACCAGTTAAAAGAATCTCCGGTTCTCTACACTCACCATACGAAACACGACAGCATTATTTTGCTGTTTCACGCTGCAATTCTGTGACAACGCGGTGGTCCTACCCTGGGGTAGGACCACCGCGTTGTGTCACCAGTCGATGTTACTAATTCGTACTGCAGCCATAATATAGCTGCAGTATGACTCTATGACGTATTATTCGCGTTAATTTTGACAAATTAAAAGGCTTAATTTAAATAACTTTATTTCAGGTTGACATATCGACAATAACCAAAGCGCCTGGAGAAAACGGGAAGGAGTATTTGTACGCAATCACTTTTACGTTATTATCAGGTGAGTGACAAAGCTTTATACCGTTTGGTGATGTACTCAGTGTAGACAGTGCTTTCAGTCGAAAAAATACAAAAATCCTTTGAAAAAACCAACTTAAAGCGGATATATTCGCGACATGTGACATCGACGAGTTACAGTGAAAAAACACTGGTTACACTTGAAAAGGAATGTCACAAACTCTTGTGAAATAAGGTAAAAACTTTTTGTCGTCTCACGAGTCGTGTAAATGGTTTGCTGAGTCATTAGCACTTGTACCATAACCATCCATTCACTTTACTATCTTTGTTACGCGGAAACGGGCACGGGAATTTAACCTAATAATTTTGAATTCATCGTTGAGCTGTCCTTAGAGTTCCAGATGAAGAAATCCGAAATATATACTTGAACTGATGTATTATGAGTTAAACCTAAGGTCGGCAAACGAATCCGCCATTCGACTACTGTCGTGAACCCCACTTCTAACACAAGCATTTTAAGTTTACCAGAAGTGGTTAAAGGGAATATTAGTAATGTTTAACGGCATTACTAGTATTAAAAAAAAAAACTTAGTGTAATGTTTTAAAAGTGTTAAATGAGAGAAACGTGTTGTTGATACTAAGTCTTTAATTATACTGCTCAAACTTATTCTACTTAACACTAATATGTAGGTACACTGCACTAGGCTGAAACTAACCGTAATATCTCAATCGTACAACGCGCTTTATGAATGACATATATATATATATATATATATATATATATATATATATATATATATATATATATATCTACAATTTGTAAAAAAATCCTTTACTCCAGTGCACATCTCAGCTACACGCTGTATATGTGGTGTTATAAATTATAAAATATTAAAATACGCGTGATTAGAGTACGACATTTCGCAGAACATAATCACAATTATCAACAAAGCAACCAAAACAATCACTCTGAAGCAATTTCTCCGTGATACTGTCAAAGTTCGAAAGTCCAAGGTATAGATGTCAGCTTACACGTGATGGTGGTATCGACACAAGTTCAAAGATACCGCATCCGACGACAGTGTTGTTAGATTTAAAAAAATCCCTAATTTTAGGCAAATTATGGTAATTTGTGGATTGAAACATGTATTTTAAATAACAATAGTATTTTATCTTAATACTTTGAGTAAAACGATCAAAGCTGCAACTTTAAATGCCTTAACACTTATAACGGAAAAAAGTCTACACGAAACAGAAAACGCTCTAAAAGACATAAAATGTGAGGATATCACATTTTATATATAAGCGAGATACGAAAATAAAAATAAAAAAAATTGAACAATGTGCAGAATACATATTATTCCATAATGTCAAAATTTCCGGTCAAAGCAGTACAGGAATCCTAATTAAATAGTCAATTAAATATCACATTCAAGAGCTCATTGGAATTTCCGACTTTTTAGCGGTACTTAACATCAACATATCGTGTTGCCGAAAATTATGGTCAATTATTCAAGCATACGCTTCGACAGAGCAAGCAAAAAAACTTTTCTATCAAGAACTGTCACAAACTTTAACGATGTTGCGGAGAGAACTGACTACTGAACTCCGGCATTAGTTATCATATGCTCGGAAGAGCAGCCTTCTACAACGACTTAGATAGGTTGTTCACTCAAAAAGTCCTTGACCTAGCTGATCAGCCCTGGGGAGAGGCCGTACGCTCTTTTTATAGAATAAGGGTGACAAACGAACATACAGTCCACCTGATGGTAAGTGGTTGCTGTGGCCCATAGACATCTACATCTATCTTCATTTGCGAATTAAAATGCAGATGCGTTGTCAGCCCTGAGGACTAAGGTAGAATGCCTCTTTTCCAGTAAAAAGGGGCTCCTGTTATCTACACTCATTAAGCTGCTGTGTTCCGAATGAGCCGAACCATTCGTGCTACAACTATACTATTAATATAGCTGCAGCATGTATCTACCACGTATAATTTGTTAAAATAAACGCTGATAGTTTATCGAAAAGGCTAGCATGCCAAACCCTGTCAAAGGCTTTCGAGACATCAAGAGAAACAGCAATAGCTTCCACCTTCTCTTGAGCCTCGTACCATATATTAAACTTCGATAACGCGAAAAAAATCAAACGTATGAATGGAATAGAATAGAATCATCTTTATTCAATATACATAGATTACAGTACACAATACTTATTGAAAGTCATTTTTTACTTTTACCACTGGTTTGCAAAAAAACCTCTGTCCTGGGAAGAACCAGCAAGAAGAAACCCAGTGGAACTTTTTTTTTAAAAGAAAAGCACAATTTATAATATAATATTTTATACAATTGTTATAAAAAAAGTCATGGGATACTCATCCCATAAGTCTGAGAGCTGGCGATGATTTTTGGAAAGGTCCTTTGGGCAAGTTAAAATTGTGATAAAATATAATTTCGTCAATTGGCGAATCCAGTCCTGCGAGTCTGGCAGAGCGTTTGCGGTTATTTCGTTACTGCGCAGAATACAACATTTGCAAAAAAAAATCCAAAAAAATGTTTTTTTGGCAACTTGATTTCTTTTTTATCTTTTAATTTAGTTTTTATATAATTCCAAAAAAATAATCCCAGACGTTTTTGTCGATTATAAAGTATATAAAGTATTAGTGAAGTAGAGGACGTCAACAAACAGGATGGGACGCCTCCCATCCTGTTTGTTGACGTCATGCGTTTTAAGTCGCCACTTAAAACTCATGGCTGGACATTAATGAAGAAGGGTGGCGCGAGACAGAACTCAGCGGAAAATGTTAAAAAAGGCCTACTGCGAGAGGAAGGCTGAATTGCGGGATGTTTTATAATTAAACTAATACACACTTAACATGCAACTTTTAATCTTGTAGTTCAGAATTAAGGGCCTTATTATTATTGCTTTAAGTGAGCAATTCTAAAATTGTATTGCTGTCTATTGCTATATAAACATAAAAACTTTCCCAATCGGAAACCTTCCGAATCGGTTATAAGTTTTTCGAGCAGGAAGTCAATTGATACAGCAACGCAGGACGACCAGGGTTGGATTTAGAATCGTAACGTCGTGGTTATTTTTTTTTACCACTCAGAAATACTTGAACATTCAGAAATTCTTACAATTGTGATAGGAGACGACCCGGTCCCCTACCCCCTCTCCTTCCGGAGACGATAAATGTTATCGTTTTAAAGTTAGGTCTATGGGACTTTCTTTTTGATTTTTCTCAAGTACGGTTTACTACCTTTTGATGGGAGTGGTGTCAGGATTAGGGAACACTCCCCCATCCCCTCCCACCAAACGATTCTAAATTTTAGCCCAGGACGATGTTTTGTTAGGGAATGGCATATGTTCAGCAGTGGACTTGGTGAAGTGCTGTAATGATAATAAAAATATTATGAAAATGATGCCGTGAACTCTTATATAAGTGGTGTCTGATAGTCATTACCCGATTATGAAGGTCTGTTAAGCTGGAATGGTCATTTGGGCAAAATCACTTAAATTTTTGCTAAATATTTAGTGCTCATTTAGTGCTAATTTAGTGCTGCAAATTTAAATTTCACGCCAAAATAGCTTGATCAAAAATGAGAAAACTGCTAGCTTTTAATTAAGCTAGCAGTGTTCTACCTATTAGAACGATAATAGCTTAATACAGCACCGAATAAAAGCATCAATAATTTAGTGCTCATTTAGTGCTGCCGATGTACGCAAAAACAAATATTGGGAAAATATATATTTTTTTAATATCATAAATTCTGCTACTTTGACATCTTTAGCAGAGTATGTAATGAACAAATTGACATCCAAGTGGATTATCACCTAATGATATGAGATAATAATTTAGTGCTCATTTAGTGCTGCCGATATACGCAAAAACAAAACTTGGGAAATTATTTTTTTAATATCATAAACTCTGTTACTTTGACATCTTTAGCAGAGTATAATGAAATAAAATTACATCAGAGTGGGCTATCACATAATGATATAAGATAATAAATTAGTGCTCATTTAATGCTGTCGATATACGGAAAAGGATTTGGGAAATTATTATTTTTAAATATCGTTAACTGCTACTTTGACATCTTTAACAGAGTATGTGATGATACATTGACATCCAAGTGAGTTATCATCTAATGACGTACGATAATAATTTAGTGCTCATTGAGTGCTGCCGATATACGCAAAACAAAACTTGGGAAAATATTTTTTTTTTATATTTCTATAAACTCTGCTACTTTGACATTTTTAGCGGAGTATGTAATGAAAAAATTGACATCAGAGTGGACTATCACATAATGATATAAGATAATAAATTAGTGCTCGTTTAGTGCTGTCGATATATGAAAATCGATTTGGGAAATTATTATTTTTAAATACCGTAAACTGCTACTTTGACATCTTTAGCATAGTATGTAATGAACAAATTGACATCCAAGTGGATTATCACCTAATGATATGAGATAATAATTTAGTGCTCATTTAGTGCTGCCGATATACGCAAAAAAAAAACTTGGGAAAATATTTTTTTAATATCATAAACTCTGCTACTTTGACATCTTTAGCAGAGTATAATGAAAAAAATTACATCAGAGTGGGCTATCACATAATGATATAAGATAATAAATTAGTGCTCATTTAGTGCTGTCGATATATACGGAAAAACAAAACTTGGGAAAATATATATTTTTTTATTTCCATAAACTCTGCTACTTTGACATCTTTAGCAGAGTATGTAATGAAAAAATTGAAATCAGAGTGGGCTATCACATAATAATATAAGACGGAGATTTGACGGCTCCGTGGCGCAGTGGCTTAGCAATCAGTTGTTGCGCTGGGGGCCGCGGGTTCAAATCCCGCACGGAACAAGTATTTGTATGGCCTACAAATAATTGTTCCGGGTCTGGATGTTTGTCCTTGTGCAATTTATGTTTGTAAACTGCCTCCACGACACAGGAGAAAATTCTAGTGTGGGGGTAACGTTTTTTTAGAAAAAGTACAAAGTACAAAGTACAAGATAATAAATTAGTGCTCATTTTGTGCTGTCGATATACGAAAACGGATTTGGGAAATTTAGATGTCAATTTTTCCAGTACATACGCTGCTAAATATGCCAAGGTAGCAGTTTACGGTATTTAAAAAAAATTATATCACAAATACTTTTTCATATATCGACAGCATTAAACGAGCACTAATTTATTATCTTATATCATTAGGTGATAATTCACGACGATGTCAATTTTTTCAGTACACACTGCTAAATATGCCAAGGTAGCAGTTTACGGTATTTGAAAATAATAATTTCTCAAATCCTTTTTCATATGTCGACAGCATTAAACGAGCACTAATTTATTATCTTATATCATTAGGTGATAATTCACTTGAATGTCATTGTTTCATCACATACTCTGCTAAAGATGTCAAAGTAGCAGTTTACGGTATTTAAAAATAATAATTTCTCAAATCCTTTTTCGTAATTCGATAGCACTAAATGAGAAATAATTTATTATCTTATATAATTAGGTGATAGCCCACTCTGATGTAATTTTTTTCATTATACTCTGCTAAAGATGTCAAAGTAGCAAAGTTTATGATATTAAAAAAAATATTTTCCCAAGCTTTTTTTTGCGTATATCGGCAGCACTAAATGAGCACTAAACTATTATCTCATATCATTAGGTGATAATCCACTCGGATGTCAATTTTTTCTTTACATACTCTGCTAAAGATGTTAAAGTAGCAGAATTTATGATATTAAAAAAATATATATTTTCCAAATATTTGTTTTTGCGTATATCAACAGCACTAAATGAGCACTAAATTATTGATGCTTCTATTTGGTGCTGTATTAAGCGGTTATCGTTTTAACAGGTAGAACACTGCTAGCTTAATTAAAAGCTAGCAGTTTTCTAATTTTTGATCAAGCTATTATGGCGTGAAATTTAAATTTGCAGCACTAAATTAGCACTGAATGAGCACTATATATTTAGCAAAAATTTTGAGTGATTTTGCTCAAATGACCATTCCAGCTTAACAGACCTCGATTATGAGACATGTGCGTGCATTGTTGTCAGGCAATATCCGTCGGTTCCGGCGTGTGTGCGAGGTGGTGCAGGCGGCGGTGTGCCGCGCGCCCGGCGCCAGCCGAGCGCCCGCGCTGCACCCGCCCTCGCCACGCGCGCAGCGCCGCACCATACACCCGCACGGTACCTACACACGCACGCACACACACACCGCGCTGCACCCGCCCTCGCCACGCGCGCAACGCCGCACCATACACCCGCACGGTACGTACACACGCACGCACACACACACCGCGCTGCACCCGCCCTCGCCACGCGCGCAGCGCCGCACCATACACCCGCACGGTACCTACACACGCACGCACACACACACCGCGCTGCACCCGCCCTCGCCACGCGCGCAACGCCGCACCATACACCCGCACGGTACGTACACACGCACGCACACACACACCGCGCTGCACCCGCCCTCGCCACGCGCGCAGCGCCGCACCATACACCCGCACGGTACGTACACACGCACGCACACACACACCGCGCTGCACCCGCCCTCGCCACGCGCGCAGCGCCGCACCATACACCCGCACGGTACGTACACACGCACGCACACACACACCGCGCTGCACCCGCCCTCGCCACGCGCGCAGCGCCGCACCATACACCCGCACGGTACCTACACACGCACGCACACACACACCGCGCTGCACCCGCCCTCGCCACGCGCGCAGCGCCGCACCATACACCCGCACGGTACGTACACACGCACGCACACACACACCGCGCTGCACCCGCCCTCGCCACGCGCGCAGCGCCGCACCATACACCCGCACGGTACGTACACACGCACGCACACACACACCGCGCTGCACCCGCCCTCGCCACGCGCGCAGCGCCGCACCATACACCCGCACGGTACGTACACACGCACGCACACACACACCGCGCTGCACCATACACCCGCACGGTACGTACACACGCACGGTACGTACACACGCACGCACACACACACCGCGCTGCACCCGCCCTCGCCACGCGCGCAGCGCCGCACCATACACCCGCACGGTACGTACACACGCACGCACACACACACCGCGCTGCACCATACACCCGCACGGTACGTACACACGCACGGTACGTACACACGCACGCACACACACACCGCGCTGCACCCGCCCTCGCCACGCGCGCAGCGCCGCACCATACACCCGCACGGTACGTACACACGCACGCACACACACACTGCGCTGCACCATACACCCGCACGGTACGTACACACGCACGGTACGTACACACGCACGCACACACACACCGCGCTGCACCCGCCCTCGCCACGCGCGCAGCGCCGCACCATACACCCGCACGGTACGTACACACGCACGCACACACACACCGCGCTGCACCATACACCCGCACGGTACGTACACACGCACGGTACGTACACACGCACGCACACACACACCGCGCTGCACCCGCCCTCGCCACGCGCGCAGCGCCGCACCATACACCCGCACGGTACGTACACACGCACGCACACACACACCGCGCTGCACCCGCCCTCGCCACGCGCGCAGCGCCGCACCATACACCCGCACGGTACGTACACACGCACGCACACACACACCGCGCTGCACCCGCCCTCGCCACGCGCGCAGCGCCGCACCATACACCCGCACGGTACGTACACACGCACGCACACACACACCGCGCTGCACCCGCCCTCGCCACGCGCGCAGCGCCGCACCATACACCCGCACGGTACGTACACACGCACGCACACACACACCGCGCTGCACCCGCCCTCGCCACGCGCGCAGCGCCGCACCATACACCCGCACGGTACGTACACACGCACGCACACACACACCGCGCTGCACCCGCCCTCGCCACGCGCGCAGCGCCGCACCATACACCCGCACGGTACGTACACACGCACGCACTCACACACCGCGCTGCACCCGCCCTCGCCACGCGCGCAGCGCCGCACCATACACCCGCACGGTACGTACACACGCACGCACACACACACCGCGCTGCACCATACACCCGCACGGTACGTACACACGCACGGTACGTACACACGCACGCACACACACACCGCGCTGCACCCGCCCTCGCCACGCGCGCAGCGCCGCACCATACACCCGCACGGTACGTACACACGCACGCACACACACACCGCGCTGCACCATACACCCGCACGGTACGTACACACGCACGGTACGTACACACGCACGCACACACACACCGCGCTGCACCCGCCCTCGCCACGCGCGCAGCGCCGCACCATACACCCGCACGGTACCTACACACGCACGCACACACACACCGCGCTGCACCCGCCCTCGACACGCGCGCAGCGCCGCACCATACACCCGCACGGTACCTACACACGCACGCACACACACACCGCGCTGCACCCGCCCTCGCCACGCGCGCAGCGCCGCACCATACACCCGCACGGTACGTACACACGCACGCACACACACACCGCGCTGCACCCGCCCTCGCCACGCGCGCAGCGCCGCACCATACACCCGCACGGTACGTACACACGCACGCACACACACACCGCGCTGCACCCGCCCTCGCCACGCGCGCAGCGCCGCACCATACACCCGCACGGTACGTACACACGCACGCACACACACACCGCGCTGCACCCGCCCTCGCCACGCGCGCAGCGCCGCACCATACACCCGCACGGTACGTACACACGCACGCACACACACACCGCGCTGCACCCGCCCTCGCCACGCGCGCAGCGCCGCACCATACACCCGCACGGTACGTACACACGCACGCACACACACACCGCGCTGCACCCGCCCTCGCCACGCGCGCAGCGCCGCACCATACACCCGCACGGTACGTACACACGCACGCACACACACACCGCGCTGCACCCGCCCTCGCCACGCGCGCAGCGCCGCACCATACACCCGCACGGTACGTACACACGCACGCACACACACACCGCGCTGCACCCGCCCTCGCCACGCGCGCAGCGCCGCACCATACACCCGCACGGTACGTACACACGCACGCACACACACACCGCGCTGCACCCGCCCTCGCCACGCGCGCAGCGCCGCACCATACACCCGCACGGTACGTACACACGCACGCACACACACACCGCGCTGCACCCGCCCTCGCCACGCGCGCAGCGCCGCACCATACACCCGCACGGTACGTACACACGCACGCACACACACACCGCGCTGCACCCGCCCTCGCCACGCGCGCAGCGCCGCACCATACACCCGCACGGTACGTACACACGCACGCACACACACACCGCGCTGCACCCGCCCTCGCCACGCGCGCAGCGCCGCACCATACACCCGCACGGTACGTACACACGCACGCACACACACACCGCGCTGCACCCGCCCTCGCCACGCGCGCAGCGCCGCACCATACACCCGCACGGTACGTACACACGCACGCACACACACACCGCGCTGCACCCGCCCTCGCCACGCGCGCAGCGCCGCACCATACACCCGCACGGTACGTACACACGCACGCACACACACACCGCGCTGCACCCGCCCTCGCCACGCGCGCAGCGCCGCACCATACACCCGCACGGTACGTACACACGCACGCACACACACACCGCGCTGCACCATACACCCGCACGGTACGTACACACGCACGGTACGTACACACGCACGCACACACACACCGCGCTGCACCCGCCCTCGCCACGCGCGCAGCGCCGCACCATACACCCGCACGGTACGTACACACGCACGCACACACACACCGCGCTGCACCATACACCCGCACGGTACGTACACACGCACGGTACGTACACACGCACGCACACACACACCGCGCTGCACCCGCCCTCGCCACGCGCGCAGCGCCGCACCATACACCCGCACGGTACGTACACACGCACGCACACACACACCGCGCTGCACCATACACCCGCACGGTACGTACACACGCACGGTACGTACACACGCACGCACACACACACCGCGCTGCACCCGCCCTCGCCACGCGCGCAGCGCCGCACCATACACCCGCACGGTACGTACACACGCACGCACACACACACCGCGCTGCACCATACACCCGCACGGTACGTACACACGCACGGTACGTACACACGCACGCACACACACACCGCGCTGCACCCGCCCTCGCCACGCGCGCAGCGCCGCACCATACACCCGCACGGTACGTACACACGCACGCACACACACACCGCGCTGCACCCGCCCTCGCCACGCGCGCAGCGCCGCACCATACACCCGCACGGTACGTACACACGCACGCACACACACACCGCGCTGCACCCGCCCTCGCCACGCGCGCAGCGCCGCACCATACACCCGCACGGTACGTACACACGCACGCACACACACACCGCGCTGCACCCGCCCTCGCCACGCGCGCAGCGCCGCACCATACACCCGCACGGTACGTACACACGCACGCACACACACACCGCGCTGCACCCGCCCTCGCCACGCGCGCAGCGCCGCACCATACACCCGCACGGTACGTACACACGCACGCACACACACACCGCGCTGCACCCGCCCTCGCCACGCGCGCAGCGCCGCACCATACACCCGCACGGTACGTACACACGCACGCACACACACACCGCGCTGCACCCGCCCTCGCCACGCGCGCAGCGCCGCACCATACACCCGCACGGTACGTACACACGCACGCACACACACACCGCGCTGCACCCGCCCTCGCCACGCGCGCAGCGCCGCACCATACACCCGCACGGTACGTACACACGCACGCACACACACACCGCGCTGCACCCGCCCTCGCCACGCGCGCAACGCCGCACCATACACCCGCACGGTACGTACACACGCACGCACACACACACCGCGCTGCACCCGCCCTCGCCACGCGTGCAGCGCCGCACCATACACCCGCACGGTACGTACACACGCACGCACACACACACCGCGCTGCACCCGCCCTCGCCACGCGCGCAGCGCCGCACCATACACCCGCACGGTACGTACACACGCACGCACACTCACACCGCGCTGCACCCGCCCTCGCCACGCGCGCAGCGCCGCACCATACACCCGCACGGTACGTACACACGCACGCACACACACACCGCGATGCACCCGCCCTCGCCACGCGCGCAGCGCCGCACCATACACCCGCACGGTACGTACACACGCACG